TCATTTCTCCTACTTCTCACCAATATGACCTCTAATGTTCCCTCCCTCCTCCAAACTCAGGATTTATTGTCCATGCCATTCACTGGACAGTTAATCAGGTACTGCCTCCTGCTATTTCTTGCCTTGAGGTCTTGGATTGTTATTTCACTTTTCATATTTATGAGTCATTTCCCTAATTAGATTTAAAAATTTCAGTGTCAAGGATCATATCATATATCTTTGTATAGCCAAGTGTCACTTAGCTTACGACAAACCTCTGATCCCAATATGTGGCATACCTCAGATGTATGGTATACTCCCAATATGAGAGCTCTCTGGAAAGAAAAAAATAGGTATGATATGCTGTGAAGATTAAAAAACTCACAGGTTTTGTAAACTAGACTTGAAGGAACATATAGCCTACATTTGGACTACATTTTTTTAAGGGGGAAAAGAATGGCCTTTTTCTCACCTTTCTTAACAAAAATGAAGTATTGCCTTTCTTATCAAAGAAGGGAGAGGCTCAGGCAGAATTCAAAATCACAATTTCCCAGTCTGCAAGTCTTGAACTAACACAATTCTGTGTTTGCCTGGATCCCATAGACTGAGCTTTAGAACCAATGTTCTTGACCTTTCTAGTGTCATGAACTCCCTTTGTCAACCTGGTGAAGGCTGCTCAAAATAATCTTTTTTTAAATACATTAAATTAAATAACAGGATTAGATAGGAAACCAATTCTATAGAAATAATTATGAGAATATTTTTTAAAAACTAAAAGAAGTTCCCAGTCTTTTGCTCTAGAGGTGTAAGAATGAATAACATCCTATGGTGAGAGAGAAACCTCTGTAGAAAGCCCAGCTGGTATCACTACTAAGCAGAAACAAAAATTATTGCTTTTTGCAATAATTAGATTACCTAAAGAACTCTAGACAGAGAGCTAGCTTAAAATTAATCCAAATAATAATTTCAGCAAAGTTGTGGAATATAAAATAAATCTATATAAACCATCAGCATTTCTGTATATTACAACAAAAAGTATTTTGACTGTCTATACTTAGAGCACTTTGCCCCAGTGCCTTGGCACTGCACTGAAATGCTGCAGAAATGGGGTTTAATGGGGGTGGGGGAGGCCAATGAGCACCTTCAGGGAAGGTGGCATACTTCCACAGATGTATAAGAATGAACGGATTTGGGACCTGGTTCTCCTGACTTGTTTTAGTGCTCCTTCAACCACACTAAACAATGCTGCCTCTAACATTAAGATTAAAGCTATGACAACCCTGCAACATTCTAGAGACAAACTGCAAACTATTGAGGAAACTACTCTGAAGGGACCAAAAGTCAGTCACCTCATAAACTTGCTGACATAGAAGACAATTTAAAAATTGCTTAACCTGAATAAAGTCCACAGGGTCATAAGAGGGTGGAACTCCTGTTGCCCACTAGGAAATTAGCACAGTTCCAAATCTGCAGAAATGAGTGCAGGAGACATAGACAAAAATCTGTTAACAAGGACATATTTTCTCAAGGTCTCTGACTCTTGGGTGGCTAGATGGTATAGTAGATACAAGTAAATACTCTTAATTTTCACAGCACATCATAACTAATTTTTTTTTTCTTTTCAGAGAGATCTCATACGGGGGTATGCCAAGTTAACAGGCTATTGGGGCCATAAAGAACATTCAATCTCATTTAATAAGCTTGGAGGGAAACTAGAGGTCAAACAGCTTGGTGTGGTAGAAAGAGTCCTGGACCTGAAGTCAAATGACCTATGGTTAAATTCACTAGTGTGAAACCATTGACAAGTCACCAAACCTCTCCAAATCTATGGCCTCTTCTCTAATGTGGGAATAATACTTACACTACTGATTGGGTGGCATAGCTGAGTACAAAAGGTAAATACATTCCTTATAGCAGAGTTTTGCTCCTCCAGCCCCAACTATTGAATATGTTTAGTGAACAAAAATATGGCTGGATTTGGAGGCAGAAAGCCCAGGTTCGTTTCCCAACTTAGCTATTTGCTACCTATGTGATCTTGGATAATGTATTTAACCATTCTGGTCCTCAGTTTCTTCATCTGTAAAATGAGGAGTGAGCTTAGATGACCTCTAAAGACCTTCCAGCTCTAAAAATATGATTCTAAGACTTTGTCCCTACGTCACATAAATAATATTCCTGCTATACACTTAACTTGATTCATTGGATCTGGAAATATGGGAGCTTAGGGTAAACAATTTTATAGGATGTACTTAGTTCAAAGAAAAGTGTTAGAAAAGGGCAACAGATAGCATTGGTTATATTATGTAAATGATGTTACCCCTGCCAAAAAAATACCCAAGTCCAAAACTAGTTAGGCAGCACTCCTGAAGCATGAAAAGAATTCTCATTTAGGATAACTCAAAGTCAACAGAAATTATTCTTAGTAGCATCCTGGTGCCTGACATTAAAATTCCAACCTGTATATGATCAAATTTTAAAATCTAGAGTCTGACTCTTAGGCAGCTAAATGCCATAGTGGATAGTGCTGGGTCCAGAGTCAGAAAGGCTGAAGTTAAAATCCAGCCTTAGACCCTTACTAGCTGTGTGACCTTGGGCAAGTCACTTAACCTTTGTCTGCCTTAGCTTCCTCAACTTTCTTGTCTACTATCATCCTATTTCAGCATTATAAATACACAAGGCCCACGGAAGTATGTCCTCCTTACTTCTTCGTTCCTTTAGCCCATGGCCTTTCTCTTCCATGTACCAGGAAAGTATCTTTTATAAAGGGGAATACACTCTTGACACAAATGTACCAAGGTCTCTTCTTCTGCCATTTTGTGGGAGAGATGACTTCCAGCCAAGAATGCTTTTGCAACATTCCCTTAAAGGCAAAGGAACTGACTTTTGATATGTGTGGACTGGGGGGAAGGGGAGGGGGAGAGATGAAAATCATGTGAACCAAGTTAAAACTACAGCACAAGTATCAGGTCTTCAAGGTATGGCCATAAATGTTCCAGGGCACTGCTCTACCTCAAGAAGAACACATCTAAGACCATGACCAAAGGCCATCTTGAGGGCAACATTAGCATAGTCAAGAAATTAGTAAATGCTAATCACTGAACAAGGAAATAAATGTCTTAAGCTTAGTGAGCCAAAGCACTTTACTGAAAGAGACGTGGCCTTGAGTTAACAGCTTCAGATCTTAAGGAACACTTTGCACAGGTTGACTTTTTAAATATGCTTTTTATTAATGTCTTGCTTTCTTACATCATCATATTTATCCCCACTATCCCTCCCTTTCCCTTGTTTGCTCCTCCTCCCAGAGAGTCATCCCACATAACAAATTGTATTTTTTAAAGAAAAAAAAAGACCAGGAAAAAAATCAGCACAGGGTTAATTATATTGTGAGAAGTTAGGTAGCATTACTCTCTACACATATGCAACCCAATACAAAATTTCATGGTTTATCTCGTAGATTTAATAATAAGGAAAATGTATATAGCACTTTTAGGTTTGCAAAGCACTTTATACTTGTTGTCTCATTTGATCCACACAACAACCCTATGAGGTAGGTGCCTCATTATTAGCCCCATTTTACAGATAGAGAGACTGAGGCTGAGAGAGTTGAAGTGACTTGCCTAGGATCCCACAGCTAATAAGTGTCTGAGGTAGGATTCCACATCAGGTCTTCCTGATTTGTCCAGTATCCTATCCACGGGATAACTGGAAGAGACCTCAACAGTCATCTAGCTAGCTAATGCAACCCTCTCATTTTAGAGATGAGGCCAAAAAGTTAAACTACTTGCTTGTGATCACAGAGGTAAGGACAGAATCTGACCTCTACTCCTCTTTTTTCCTACTCTACCACGCTGCCTCCCCTCAATGGCCAAAGTTAAAGTAAAAATAGTGGATCTAAATTGTGAGCTTGTCTCTCAATTTGCATTACTATGCAGTAAAATTCTCTCTCTTTTTTTTTCCTGTGGCTGGAAATTTTTGCACTAAATAAAGGTTATTGCAGCCTCTGAGCTAACAAAAGTCACATTAGCTTGCCCAGCAATGCAGAACATCAAACTTCTAGTAATTGACCTAAAGTTTAGAAATGGGGCTGTGCTTCAGTGCCAAGTCATCAGCATACAAAAGTCTCATTTCCACACAACTAGGATATTCTGATGATTCCAAATGCACAGCAACTATTTGGAAATGTACATTGCATAACAGCTACTCCCTACCAATTGATTAACAACAGGAAGCAAAGAAAAAACACGTTACAAAATTTAAAGCCATGAAAACATGACTTTGAGAGACCTCAAGTAGGTACTCCATGTGTTTACTTATGTCAAGGTAGCAATTTAATTTTTATTTTGTTTTTTAAATTTTTTTTTTGGCTAGGCAATGGGGTTGAGTGACTTGCCCAGGGTCACACAGCTAGTAAATGTTATGTGTCTGAGGTCAGATTTGAACTCAGGTCCTCCTGAATGCAGTGCCAGTGCTCTGTCCACTGCGCCACCTAGCTGCCCCCAAGGTAGCAATTTAAACACAAAACCAGGTAAATGTATTCCTTTCCTTCCATCCCAACTATGTCTATATCCTAGACATATTTGGTGTTTATTTTTTACAACATACTTGGTGTTTATCTGTCTCTTTGTACCTTTGAGAGGTACCATCCCCTACCTCCTAACAATAAAGGTAAAAGGAAACTTTGCTAAGTATGATAGAGCAGAGAGGAAACCTTTGATCTGAGAAATCTGAATTCATGCCAAAAAAGATGTGGCTTTAAAAAAAAAACCCAGATTATAGCAGATCTGTTAAATGGTTCCACATTAGAAATAGATATGCTTTTTATCAATGGAAATGACACCAAAGATGATGGATTATCACCTGCTTTGCAGCTGAAACCTAAGAGCCATTGGGCCCTTCCATCTGACTTGAACCTGAAATATTTTGCGATGTCTCTTCCAAATAGAATGTAAGCTTTTTGAGAGCAGGAATTGTTTTGCTTTTTTACTTGTATCCCCACAGCTTAGATAGTACTTTGCACAAAGTAAGCACTCAATAAATATATTTTAATTCACTCATTTGCATCATTCATGTTAACTATTGATATATCACCTCACGTAACAAATTTACTTTCCAAAATGACTTTAAGACACAGTTTAAATACAAATACAGATTAAAAATGTTAAAAAGATTGGGATGATATCCCTGGAGAACAAACAGCATTATAATTCTGTTTAATCTTCTCTTCTCATGACTAATAGTTTAATTCAATAAAGTCTTCATCTTTGATTGGGACTATTTCTTAGACATGAAAGAATTATAATTTATATATTTCACATCACAATGCCAGACTCAGAAAACATACATTCATGTGGCAAGACTGCCAGTCAAGGCAGAATAGATTACTTCAAAACAATTAGCCACATGCATATAAGGTAAAATAAAAGTACAATATATTAATTGCTAATTCATTGTTACAGACCTGCCCATGAATAACATTGACAACCATCAACAACCTACCACAATGTCCTTCATGAGTACTTTATTCTAGTGTGAAAGTAACCCTGGGTTTGCAAAAACTGTACTGGAGGAGAAAATCAAAGCAGCTTCAAATATGGTCATGAACTTAGAATGCTGTCCAAGGAACAATAACTCTGCTAAGCTGAGGGAGACTCATCACCAGTAAGTTGACAACTAGGTAATGATGCTCTTTGGCTATGAAATTATGTCCCCATGAAACAAGGAAAATTTTAAAAGGCACTTAGTTCTACATAGCCCTCCCCTTCTGCTGCCCCAATATAGTGGCAGAAAGTGGCTAAGAATCACAGTTTTTAGACTTTTTAAAGATTGATTTGATTATTGATATTTTAAATGCAAAATTTTGTCCAGTAACAACTGTCATATTACTGCAAGAATCAAACCACATCAACATTGACCCTCTCTATAAATTCAGAAAACATGAAAGTTGCAGATGAATGGAAGGATGTCTCCCAGGCAAACAAAGATGATCAGGTTGGCTTTACCACATGGACAAAAGTAACAGGAGACATAAATTTATGGAAAACTTGCCTCTTGGTGCTCACGATTAGCAATAGCCAAAAGACCCCCATGAAGACAATTGCAGCTTATACACAACTTATATACTATTATCTTTTGTAGAGGACAGACTTTGAAAAGATCCTTCCAACAAAGTCAATATATATTCTTTGATCTTCGATTCGACATGAATGGAATGATGGAAAGTATATCAGAAAATATATTCAAGGATAGAAATTGACGAAAGCAGAAATAGAAGAATAACTTTAATGACAATAACAGAGAGCTCTGCCTGCTATTTGCTGGCAGAGAGGTGGTGAACTACAGGTGTAGAACAAGGCATACATTTTCAAATGGCCAATTTGTTGATTCATTTTGTTTGACTATACTTATTTGTTCCAAGAGGGTAGTATTGGGGGATGTGGCTATCACAGGGAAGTGATATTGATATAACCAAAAAAGAGCATAAATAAAATATTTTAAAAGTTTAAAAATGGTTCATTAAAGAAACAAAAGAGACCAAAAGCTTATACACTATTCAGAAGTTTCAGGCCTATTTACCATAAAAACTTTCTTACTGGATTTCTTCCAACAAGGAAGAGAGATAGGCAGCATAGTACAGTAGGCAGAGTTGGATTTAGAGATAGAGGACAGGGATTAAAATCCTAGCCCTGATGTTTATCACCTGTATGACCCTGGATAAGTCACTTAAACTCTCTAGTCCTCAGTTTTCTCATTTGTAAAATGTGGAGTTTGAATTGTATGGCCTCCAAGATCCCTTCTAGACTTTATTCTGGATCCTAGAGTCCTAGGATGCTATGAATCTCTCATAAATGTGTAAGGATTATAAAAGAGCCCTTGATTAATGTAACCACAGTGCTAACTCTGTTCATCACTGACCTTCCGATTATTAATATGAAGTAAGGCATCAAACATGGAAACATGTTTGAAGAAGGTATTCATTGCTGTTGTGGAAGATACCCTGCAAAATCCAAGCGAACTATGGCCGGTGAGGTCCTCCAGATGTTCCTGTGATGAATGATGTTCCTGCAACTATGGGAAATGCATCAAGTGCCAAAATATTACATGACCTCGTCCTCAAAGAGATCCATGGCTGCTTAAAAGGGATGGGCCTAACAATATATTCAGGAAAAAGCAAATGAATTTTTAGACATGCCTCTTTTCCAGACTATAACATACATAACATAATATTCCATGAAGATAATGCATCAGTATGTTTATCTAGGACAGGGACTGCATATGGTCAGTGAGCTGAGGACAGAATTGATTAGGAGGAAGAATGAAGGCTGGAAAATTTCCCAGTGCTTTCAATGATCCCAAGCTACTTGCAACACAAAAGGCCATCATTTTAGTATCAGGTTTGTTGGTTTGTTTTCCCTTTGATGCTGCACAGTTACAACTCTGTAAAAAAACACCATTTCTGAACAATAAATATTAAAAGGGCAATGGAGAGACACCTGATGGGCTTATGTAGACTGTACTACGTTCAGTAAAATGACTTGCACACAGTAAGTGACAAAGGGATATCATCCTAGAATTAAATGTATGTATGGAATAGGAAGTATCATATAGTGAAAGTCAGGGATGCCAAGTGGGCAGACCAGAGACAGGCCTTCAGCACACTGAGAAATCCAGTATGGAGGATCTTTGGAAAAACATAGACAAAAATCAGACAGAATGAAAAAATACAGATGGGTTGAAAACTATCCTACCGGAAGAAGTAAATCACACAGATCAGATCATGGATACTTTAGTTATTATATTGTCAGGATACTATTAGGAGACATTCTGTTTTCCAGAGCCAAGGTCCAGCAAGCAAGCTGTGCCCTGAGCTTGGCATAACAACAATCCTTTGCGCTTACCCTCTGGATGAACATTGCTGCAACTAAATCACGGAACTGATGGTCCCTAAGCTCAGGTAAGCACCAAGCCCTGCTATGAATAGACTTTTTGTCCCTAGACAACGTTGCTTCACTGTTGCTACACTATACTGTTTGACTCTCTGTCTAGCCACGAGTATATAAATAAAGGTTTGGCCACATTAAAGCAGGACCCCCACTAGGTCCAATACATGTGTCTAGATCCTCTCCTTACTTGCAAGCCATTTCCCTCACTTTGAAATTAAACTTCTGATTGATTCCTGACTCTCCTGTCTCTAACCTTCTCTGTTCAGCTCTGCTATCCACAGGTTAGAAGATGCTTTAGTCCAGCTGACAATATCAATAAAAGCATTTTAAAAAAAATAATGTTCTTAAATTAAGCTGTCATCAGCTAAAGACCACACTGTGGATAATGTCCATAAAACAGTCCGAAAAGTGTGGTAGGAGATAGGTTTGGGTGAAAGAAGAAGTTTAGGAAGTTTTGGAAGTTTTTCCCTAATTTTCCCTTCTTAGGCAAGGGAATTCCTAAATATAACTGTATAAATTGGCAGGATACTGCCAAATACCATTATGAGATTTTTTTTTTTGGAACGTGACTTATAAAGAGTTTTTTAAAAAGCATAGCCCACTATCTGTTTTCCAGTAGTCATGATGCATTAAACTGAGCCTTCCAGCATAGGGTAGCAAGGAATAAATTAGTGCCCTATTATAAGTAATATACCAATCATTGTGTTAAATAGGCACTAGATTCCAGCACAGCAGCTCCCAGCATTTCAACTCTGGCTCTTTCTCAGAGTTTCTACTTTAACCCCAAGTTTAGGCATGGAGAAAATACAAAAGGAGGCTGTGATGCAAGTAAGATTAGCCAGGTAGAGAAGCCAGGAAAAAAAGATTTACTGAAGAAAAAAAAATGAGGCATTTGCTAATAGCTCCTTCTTCTTCTCTGTTTCTCATCTCACATCACCCACTTGCCTTCTGCCACTATTTTTTCTTTCATCCCCTCGTCTCATATTAAGGGGTGGTCCTTCTTGCCAAGGTGATTCTATTCCAATCCATCTTCTCCCAGAAGATTACCTCCCCTATCGTCCCCACTCTCTCACTTGTCTTTAATCTCCCTGTCTATTGGGTCTACTACCTACAAGCATACTTACGTCTTACCCATACTCAAAAAACCCTCACTTGATCCATCCATCCCCACTAACTCTCATCCTACATCTCTCCTGCCACTTGTTGCTAAACATTTTGAGAAGGCAGTCCACTTCCTTTCCTCTCATCCTCTTCTGAACTCTCTGCAGTCTGGCTTCTGACTTCATCATTCAACCAAAACTGATCTCTCCAAATTTACTAATGATCCCTTAAATGTGAGATCTTAGGGCTTTTTTTCAATCCTCATTCTTTTTGACCTCTCTGCAGCCTTGGACACTCTTGATCATCTGCTTCTTCTTGGTACTTTCTTCTCTTTAGTTTTTTTGGTGACGCTATTCTATCCTGGTCCTCCTCCTACCTATCTGACTTCCTCTTCTCAATGCCTCTTTGTTGGATCTTTATCCAGACAGTCCTGAATGTCCCACAGGGCTGTCTTGGGCCTTCTTTTCTCCCTCTATATAATTTCACTTTGAAATCTTATCAGCTCCCAAGAATTCAATAATCATTTCTATGCTGATTATTCTCAAATCTACTTATCCAGCACTAACCTGTCTGCTCACCTCCAGTCTTAAATCGCCAATTGATTAGACATCCCAAACTGGATGTCCTATAGATATCTTAAATTCAATATGTCCAGAATGGAACTCACTGTCTTTCCCAAAAAAATCCTCCTCCCCAAAACATTCCTTATTATTACCAAGTATGAAACTACTCTCCTAGTCACCCAGGCTCAAAACCTAGATGTCATTGTTGACTTCTCCCTCTATCTCTAATCTGTTGCCAAGGCCATTAATTTTATCTTTATAACATCTCTTGAATATACCCTTTTCTCTCCCCTGACATTGCCACCACCCTGGCTCTTATCACCTTACATCTGGACTACTGTAATAGTCTGCTGGTCAGTCTGCCTGTCACAAGACTCTCCACTCACAGTCCCTTCTTCATTTAGCTGCCAATGTGATTTTCCTAAAACACCAAATCAACCATGTTACCCCCATTGGGATGACAATAAACTCCAGTGGCTCCCCTATCACCTCTACGATCAAATACAAAAGCCTCAGTTTGGCATTCAAAATCCTTCATAATGTAGGTCCCTCCTACCTCAGTCTTCTTACACCTTATACCCAACCCTTCACAGTGTATCAGTCCAGTGACACTATTGCCTTGGTATTCCACAAACAAGACACTCTACCTCTCAGCTCCAGGCATTTTCTCTAGCTGTCTTCCATACCTAGAATGCTCTCCTTCCTCATCTCTGTCTCCTGGCTTCCTTTAAGTCCCAGCTAAAATCCTGCTTTCTACATTATAGAAGCCTTTTCTAGCTCCCTTTAATTCTAGTGCCTTTCCTTAGTTGATTTTTCCAGTTTATCCCCTATATAGCTGATTTGTAGAGTTGTTTGCATGTTGTTTCCATCATTAAGACTGTGAGCTTGAGCTTGAGGGAAGGGACTATCTTCTACTTTTCTTTGTATCCCTAGCACTTAGCACATTGCCTGGTACATAGCTGGTGCTTAATAAATGTTTATGGATTTATCAGGTTGTCTATCCTCAGCTCTCCAGCTCTGCAAAACAATGGAGAGTAACTAAAAGAGGTTTCCTGCCTTAGTGTGCTAGCTAAAAGACAAAACAAACAAAAAACAAAACCAAAAACAAACTCCTCCATTTTAAGAAAATCTTCCAAGTGAAAACCCAAACTTTGGAAACACATAAATTAGGTCGTGACTTTTTGGACCTCAAACGTTTCTTGTTGGTCTTTTCTTTGCATCATGATTCAATGTTGCATAACTTTAAATAGTGAGTTCCTTGGGCTCATTTATAACAGAATTCTATTTCTGGAAATTATGTTACATATGATTTTTCTTAAACCTGTTCGCTACAAAAGACTTTTACAACTCAGTTCTGAGTAACTGTTGTCCCAGATGATCACTTACTGCTTTCCTTAAAAACAGGAAGGTAAAAAAGCTATTTTGATACTATTCACACACACACACACACACACACACACACACACACACACACACACACACACACACAAACTATTCAATTGAGCAAACAGTGACTTCTTTTGCCTTAACTAATGGTGCACTGTTTACTCTTCTCCGTGTACTCTATGACATACTCTGGGTAAATCTGATGCTTTTCAAAGATCACAAATATGGTGGGATCCAATCTGTTATTGACGCAGCTGTCATAAAAGGTGTTCTGTGTACCCTGTCGCATTGGCGGCCGTACGTATTTTGAATCTCCTTGAGTGAAAACTCCAACCAGAACTCGAGCCAAGAACATTATTTTGACATTGGTCTCAGACTCTGAGTAATTATGGGAATAACTTGCATCTCTTGCAAAGTAACTTCCTGGAAGAAAGCAGAAAAAAGCAAAAATGGGAATTAGAAAACTGTTCATTCCTGCAGCCAAAGGAAAACCTCTGCCCTTCCTACACTGAATTTGCTATAACTTAGCTAGAGGCATTTTGCACACAGCTATATTCAGATGTAGATGCACATTCCTATGCAACTCAACATTGCAAAATGTTTAATATGGAAATGAATTCTCTGGCCTAAAAGAAAACACGCATTAGCTCCAAAGGGGAGCCCTCTCTGAGTTCATGTGGTTAGTAGGAGAGAATTCATTAGAATAGAGTAGCTTTGAGAACCACTGTTATATTTTCATATAAACTAGATTTGGAGGAAGACACAGGTTCAAATCCCACTTTTGACATTCCTGGCTGAAGGGTTTAACTCCTCAGAGTTCAGAGAATTCTGTAATACTTATCTATTGATTCATAGACTAAAGACAGCACAGATGGGTTCTGACAAAGGCAACTGGACCAGCACCTCCCTAGTCTTAGACTTTGTCTCTCTCAGTGATGTCTTGGGGGACAAGTAAGTGACATGGTAGCTAGAGCACCGGCCCTGGAGACAGGAAAACCTGAGTTCAAATGTGACCTCAGACACTTAATAGCTGTGTGACCCTAGGCAAGTCATTAACCCATTTGCCTCAGTTTCCTCATTTATAAAATAAGCTGGAGAAGGAAATGGCAAACCACTTCAGTATCTTTGCCAAGAATACTCTAAATGGGGTCATGAAGAGTCAGACACAACAGAAAAACAACTAAACAACAAGATTGCACACTAATGAAATCACATCTTCTTACTATGTTGATACAAAGCAGGAAACTACAAACCTTGATAAAAAAGATTTTTTAAAAAAAGATTTTCTGTATTTTCTTCCCTTCTTTTTCCTTGGAATCTTTTCTTCCATACTTTTTTTTGGGTTTTCCTCTTCATTTTATATTTCCCTCTTCATTTGTTTTTATTTTTTCACTCTTCTTTTTTTTTCTGCTCCCTACTACTCGCTCAGATATTCTTCTCTGTCCTCTCCAAACTATCCGTTCTTGAGGATCCTATTCTCTAATGCAATCCAAACCCCATAGAAATAAGGCGGCCAGGCAGAGAGAACTGACAAAAGCGCGGAAGCCAGCACCTGCTCTTCCTCACTCAATAAGCCCCTTCTTTCCTAGTAGGACCCAATTCTGCGTGTCTCTATGTATCGATGGGTCATGTGTTTCTGAAAGACAGTGATGAGTGTTCAGTGTATGTACTTTGTCAATGAGTCTTAGTTGCGAAATTGGTGTGAAAGCCACTCTGAGCCCTCCTTTCTTTGACTTGGAGCTTGACCCTAAGTGATCTGAAGGTTTCGATGCAGGGAAATGAAAACTAGCATATCTGAGAAACAGAAATGGAGACAAAACAATAAAACATTCTTTAGGCAGCCAAATATAAATTTTGGGTAGTGATAATGATTTTATATCTTTCTATAATTATTAATAATACTGATTCTACTTCTCTTGAGAGCTAATTAAAGTGAAACCAGGATAAAGCAGCAGAAAAGAAATGACTCGGGAAATTATCTTGGCATTAAACAGAATGTTGAAAAACAGATGTTGCCAGTACTGAGCTGTCAAAGATGCAAAAAAAAATGTCAATACACAAACCAACACAGACTTATTCCCCCACATCACTTCTTCCCTATACAAACCCATATAAATACAAAGACATACACACTGAAGGCAGAGACATTGACAAACAAACCTTTGCCATAGACTGTTGCATGGGTCCCACAAATCCTCCAATCAAAGTTATGACTGCAGATGTCATTCAAATGGATGTATTTTGTTCCATGAAATAGATGTCGTTCATCCACATCCTTCCCTCCATTCACCTTTTTCATCTGGTCCTTCTGCCTAAGGAAAAATATGTGAGATTTTAGTCACTGAAAATTCTATTTCCTCTTTGAAAAACTGGGGCCTTGGCTAGGTTTAAAATGACACATTCACTTAATGGATTGGCCAAATTTGAAAATACAAATCCACGGCATGGTGTATTCTTGGGTATATATGCTTTTTTTAAAATTCAGTAAGGAAGTAGTAAGCTGTCATTATCATTATCATGATCATCATCATCATTATCATAATGGATTCCCCAACTGTAAACTGGAGACAAAATAGCCCCTTCCTTCCAGGGTCGTGAGGTTGTGAGAATCAACTGAGATATTTGTAAATTGCTAAGCGCATACCAAATGCTATATTAATACTAATTGTTATTATTATTATTTTTATTATTATTATAGGAGGCATCATCATGATCCTAATTATGGTTCATTATAGTTGTATAGCATTTACAGTTAACCAAGAGGTTTCACATCTAAGATATTTTTGATTTAAAACTCTATACAGTATAGCAAAGTGCAAATAGAATATAAGAGGAAAGAAGTATAATGAAAAATTCAGTTTATTTTGTAGGGGAGGTTGCTAGGCAATGGGGTTAAGTGACCTGCCCAGGGTTACACAGCTAGTAAGTGGCAAGTGTATGAAGCCGGATTTCAACTCTAATCCTCCTCACTCTAGCCCCAGTGAGCTATCCACTGCATTACCTAGCTGCCCCTGAGAATTCATAGTTTATTGAACAAACAAGCTGTTTAGAAAATTCTCTTTTAACTCTTCACTCAATAAGTAAGGGGATTTATTAAGTAACTGGCTATTCAGAGTAGAGGGGTTATCAGTGTTTTAATAAAATCTTTCCACTATCAGGTTTAACTGGCTCTGATTCATCACTCCTACTGCCACTTCTTTGGCCTTGGGCCATACTGTCCCTGGCAGCAGGCCATTTCCATTTCCCACGGTAATAGGGGTTGTGAGCAAAGTGCACTGAGCGGAGAATAAAGAAAAATGAGAATAGGGAGTGGGGACTATATGAAACAGGGCACAATTGTTTCTTCTGACAGAGAGGACAAAGGGCTAAATTACAAGACACATAAACTCCTAGAGCCTAGGAGTTGCTTTCTTTTTGTATTTTTATCCCCAACATGTAGCAGGATACCTTGCACATAATTTAATTTAATTAATTTTTAATTAAAGCATTTTACTTAGTTTTTAATTAATGTTTCTTGGATTGGATTGGCAATCCTTACATCTGGCAGATCTATAATTTGAAAGTATGCGTGTATATTGTCAGTATGAACACAAATAGGCCCGTCTCTGGTTCACTTGTTCTCAGTCAGAGCTAAAGAGCCCTGTGGTCGAAAGAGCTTCCCCAAATCCTGTCCACAGCTTAGCACAAATAGCCCCAGAGAATCTCTTTAATAGTTATACAAAATGCTGTGGGATTAATGAGTCAGATGTTACACTTCCATTTTGAAAGTAAGGAAACTGAGGCCCACAGCAGTTTAATAATTTGACACAGAGGAAGTGTGTCAGAGGCAGGATGAAAACAGAGGTTTTCCAATTTGTAGCTCAAAGTTCTTTCCACTGTACTAAGGGGCTTGTATAATACATCTAAAGGGACAGTAATAAACACCCCATGAATATTTTTATTACTTGTATTCTTATATTCTTACTTGTATTACTTGTATTCTTGACTACTAAATTCTACTAAGTTTGCCTGAGTTGAAGTGACCCAAAGAAAACCAGAGAATGATAGGAAATGGTAACGAACCATTGGAAGACTTGCCAAAGGGCCAAATTCTGAATCCTTTGGATACGTTGAATGATGAAACCTGTCATTGTCTTTTCAAATTGGTTCTTGACATCACTGAATTCTTTAGAGGTTTCATTGAGCATCACAAGCTGTGAGGTGAAAAGGTACAGGCATACAGAGGTCTCATTAAAATTGTACATTGGTAAGGAAACAAAACTATCACTTTTTGTAGATGATATGATGGTATCCTTAGAGAATACTAGAGAATAAACTAAAAACTAATTGAAATAATTAAAAATTTTTAGCAAAATCACAGGACATAAATAAACCCACATAAATCATCAGCCTTTTTATATATTGCCAACAAAGTCCAGCACCAAGAAATAGAAAGAAAAATTCCATTTAAAATAACTGTAGACAATATAAAACACTTGGCAGTCTACCTATCAAGACAAACCCACTTACAAAACACTTTTTTTAAGAAAGCAGCCAACAATCAACAAATATTTATTAAGCACCTACTATGTGCCATGGACTGTGCTAATTGCTGGGATACAAAAAGTGGCAAAAGACAGTCCCTGTCCTCAAGGAGCTTACAAACTAGTGGGGGAGACATCATTCAAACAAATATACACAAAGCCGGAGCAGCTAGGTGGCGCAGTGGATGGAGCACCGGCCCTGAAGTCAGGAGGACCTGAGTCCAAATCCGGCCACAGACCAAACACTTGACACTTGCTAGCTGTGGGACCCTGGGCAAGTCACTTAACCCCAATTGCCTAAAAACAAACAAACAAAAAACAAAAAACAAAACCCAAAATATACACAAAGCAAACTATATGGTCTGCACCCCTTTCCATGTTGATCAGAAGTTAAACTATCCTTCAGTGTGTTCTTTTCCACCTCTCTCTTTCTTCTCTCTCTCACCCTTCTTCCTTTTTCTCCCTTCTTTTTAAAAAAATTTATTTATTTTTAGTTTTCAACTTTTACTTCCACAAGATTTTGTGTTCCAAATTTTCACCTCATCTCGCCCCTCCCTCCACCCCAAGATGGCATGCATTCTGAATATCCCTTCCCCTAGTCTGCCCTCCCTTCTATCTCTCCCCTTCTTCTCTTACCCCCTGCCCCTTCTATCTTCCCGTAGGGCAGGAGAGATTTCTGTTCCCCATTTCCCGTATTTCTTATATCCCCAGTTACATGTGAAAACATTTTTTTAAACATGTGCTTTTAAAACTTTTGGTTCCTGGGGCAGCTAGGTGGTGCAGTGGACAGAGTACCAGCCCAAAGCCAGGAGGATCCAAGCCCAAATCCAGCCCCAGACCAAACACCCAACACCTACCAGCTGTGTGACCCTGGGCAAGTCACCCAACCCCACCTGCCTTAAAAAAAAAAAAACTTTGGGTTCCAAATTTTCTCCCTTCCTCCCTCCCCACCCACCCTCATTGAAAAGGCAAGCAACTCAATATAGGTTATACATGTGCAATTATGCAAAACACTTCCATAGTAGTCATGTTGTGAAAAACTAACTCTATTTCCCTTAATCCTATCCTGCCCCTCCCCATTTATTCTATTCTTTCTTTTGACCCTGTCCCTCCTCAGAAGTGTTTGCTTCTGATTACCCCCTTTCCCAATCTGCCCTCCTCTCTATCATTCCCCTGCTCTCTTGTCCCCTTCTCCCCCTATTTTCCTGTAGCATAAGACAGATTTCCATACCCAATTGAGTGCGTATGTTATTCCCTCCTTAAGCCAAATCCTATGAGAATAAGAGTCACTCATTCCCACTCACCTTCCCCTGTTTCCCCTCCACTGTAAGAGCCTTTTCTTTTCGTTTTTTTGTAAGACAATTTACCCCATTCTACCTCTCCCTTTCTCCTTCTCCTAGTATAATCCTCTCTCACCCCTTAATTTTATTCTCCAGATATGACCCCTTCATTTCCAACTCATCCTGTGCCCTCTATCTATCTATCAATCTATCTATCTATCTATCTATATCTATGTCTATGTCTATATACATACATACAATTTTTTCTTCCAACTACCCTAATACTGACAAAGGTCTCATGAGTTATAAATGTCATTTTTCCATGCAGGAATGTAAACAAAAACACTTTTCACACAAATAAAGTCAGATCTAAAGAACTGGAGAAATATTAATTGTTCATAGGTAGGCCAAGCCAAAATAATAAAAATGACAGTTCTACCTAAATTAATTTACTTATTCATTGCCATACCAATCAAACTATCAAAAATTATTTTGTAGTGCTAGAAAAAAATAACAAAATTCATCTGGAAGAACAAAAGGTCAAAAATATCAAGGGAATTCATGGAAAAAAAAGTAAAGGAATATTGCCTAGCCATACCAGGTCTCAAACTATATTATAAAGCAGTAATCATCAAAGCAATCTGGTACTGGCTAACAAATACAGTGGTAGATCAGTGGAATAGATTAAGTACAAATCCCCACTAGTAAATAACCACAGTAATCTAGTGTCTGATATACCTAAAGACTCAAGCTTTTGGGATAAGATCACTATTTGATAAAAACTGCAAAACAGTATGGAAGAAACTAGGTATAGACTAACATCTTCCACCATATACCAAGATAAGGTCAATATGGGTACATGATTTAGACATAAAGGGTGATACCATAGGCAAATTAGGGGAGCATGGAATGGTTTACCTATTGGATCTATAGATAAGAGAAGAATTTATGACCAAACAAGAGATAGAGAGCATTATGAGATGTAAAATGAATAATTTTAATTATATTAAGTTAAAAAGTTTTTGCACAAACAAAATCAAAGCAACAAAGGTTAGAAAGAAAGCAGAAAGCTGGGGAAAATTTTTTATACAGTGTCTCTGATAAAGACCTCATTTCTCAAATATGTAGAGAACTGAGTCAAATGTATAAGAGTACAAGTCATTCCGTAATTGATCAATGGTCAAAGGATATGAATGGGCAGTTTTCAGATGAAGAAATCCAAGCTACCTAGAGTCATATGAAAAAATGCTCTAAATACTATTAGAGAAATACAAATTAAAACAACTGTGAAGTACCACCTCACACCTATCAGATTGGCTAATATGACAGAAAAGGAAAATGACAATTATTGGAGGGAATGTGGGAAAACTGAGCACTGTTGGTGGAATTGTGAACTGATCCAAACATTCTGGAGAGCACTTTGGAACTATGCCCAAAGAGCTATAAAAATGTGCATACCCTTTAATCCAGCAATACCACCACTAGATCTGTATTCTAAAGAGATTTTTTTAAAAAGGGGGGGGGTGAAAGGACCTACATGTACAAAAATATTTATAGCAGCTCTTTTTATGGTGGCAAAAATTGGAAACTGAGGGGATGCCCATCAGTTGGGGAATTGGCTGAACAATTTGTGGCATATGACTGTAATGGAATACTATTATGTTATAAGAAATGACAAGCAGGATGCTTTCAGAAAAACCTGGAAAGACTTACATGAACTGATACAAAATGAAGTGAGCAGAACTAGGAGAACATTGCTCACAGTAAAAACAATATCATATGATGATCAATTGGGAATGACTTAGCCATTCTCAGCAATACAATGATCCAAGACAATTCTAAATGACTCATGATGAAAAACTGGTATCCACCTCCAAAGAAAGAACTGATGACTGAATGTAGGTCGAAGCATACTATTTTTCACTTTTTTTTTGTAGTGAGTTTTTTTGGGAGGGGGGGCAGTGGGGGGTGTTGGTCTGTATTTTCTTTTAGAAGATGTGTGGTGGTTGAATTTTCACAGACTGCTGCTCAACTCAGTCATAGACAGCCCACTGGGAGACTCTGCAGGTTCATAGAGCCTGAACTGCTGGTTCCCACTTAGTTTTGGTCTGCTGCCCCAGTTTATTCCACTGCAAGCTTATGTGTGGGACTAAAGGTTAGAACTGAGTATTCCCTCTGTTCATGGCTCAGAACCACACAGTTATAGTTCTGGAACTTGTTCCTTGATCCTTATCCAGGTAGAACTACTGCTCCCTCATGGTAACAACCACTCCTCTCCACCCTGGAATTATGAGCCAGAATTAGATACTAGGCAACAGAGCTGTCCAACACCTTTGCCTGTTCCTAATGCTAGTGCAGGTTTCCTTGGGATCTCTTTCAGCTTAGGTGTTCAGTCTCCTTACTGCCCTCAGGTGCTTGACTGATCCTTGCTGCTGGAGCCACCACCATAGTTCACTGTTCTTCCTGCATGTTGTGGTACTGCTGCTTCTGAGCTGTGATCCCAGCCAGCCCCAACCTCACTATCCACAGACCTCTCTTTCTGTCTCTCTATGATTCCCTGCACTAGAAAAATGACTCACTGTGACTTTTCTTTGACTTCCCTGATCAGAATTCTGTCATTGTAGGGAAAGGGGCTAAGGCAAAACTGCTAACTCTGCCATCTCAATTCAACCTCCCTAAAAATATGCATATCAGCTCTTTTGTTGTTGTAAGGAACTAGAATCTAATTGGAAGTACCTATCAATTGAGGAATGACTGAACAAATTATGGCATATGAACATAATAGAATACTACTGTGGTATAAAAAAAGATGGAGACCTACAAAGACTTGTTTGAACAAATGCAGAGTGAAGTGAGCAGAACCAGAACAATTTATACATTAACATCATTGTAAAGACAAACAACTTTTAAAGACTCAAGAATTCTGATCAATGCCATCACCAGTCACAATTACAGAGGACTCATGTGAAATATGCTACCAACTGCAGAGACAGAGGTGATGGACCTTGGATGAGACAGACAGACAGATAGACATGGACATGGTCAAATTGTGGAATTTATTCTGCCTGAATATATTTTTCAAGGGTTTTGATTTTCTTTTTTTTTTCCACAGGGAGGGAGAAGTGGAAAGAAAAGAAGGTGGGTTTTTGATAATTTTTCTAAAATTACTTAAATTTTTATAAAAGAAATTGACTGATGTATATTTAAGGTATATCACAGCTTAGCCAAAAGTCAAATAACTATAAATTATTAATCAGTAGATTCTGAATTAAAGAGGTTTTTTGGCTTTTTAAAAAAATGTATCAGTAAGCGGAGCCAAGATGGCGGCGTGAAAGCAGTGACTTGCTTGAGCTCTCCCCCCAAACCCCTACAAATACCCATAAAAAAATGGCTCTAAATAAATTCTAAAGCAGCAGAACCCACAAAAAGACAGCGTAAAACAAATTTCCAGCACAGGACAGCCTGGATGGTTGATCGGAAAGGCATATTGCGCCAAGCGGGGAGAGGAGCGGAGTTCAGCATGGGCACACAGGCTGCAAAGAACCTAGAGCAGGCCTCAGAGGACTGAATCATGGGCAGCTGTGGGTGGTGGCTGTGTCCTGCGGCCCACAGACTGAGGGGGAATCAAGTGGCTGATCAGAGGGAGACTGCAGGGATCTCTTTGCTGGTGCTGAGGCAGGAATCTCTGGCTTTGCCCGTGCTTGGATCTGGGTCATAGTTCAGGCTGGCAGTCCTGGGGTGAGGAGGAGTGCTGGCACAGTGGAGCTTGTAGTGGTTGTGGAGAGGAAACCCTCCTCACAGTTCCAAGAGATAAAAGACTGCTTGTGGCTCAAAGACCAGAGCTCAGGCCAGGAAAAGAGTAAACACCTCGACCCTTATACCACCTTGGAAGAACTGAAAATTTACAGATCACTAGAAGTATTTCTGAAAACAGCTATACAAACCCCCAAAGCTTGGGACAATACATTTTCCACACTGGAAGCAGACTTTTACCTTAACAAAGAGTTTAAAACTCAAGTAGTTGGCTGGGATCATGAGCAAACCTCGCAAAAAGAGTCAGACTATAGAATCTTACTTTGGTGACAAAAGAATTTTGAGAAGAAAGTAAGAGAAGTGGAGGAAAAACTGGGAAGAGAAATGAGAGTGATGCAAGAAAATCATGAAAAACAAGTCAGCAGCTTGCTAAAGGAGACCCAAAAATATACTGAAGAAAATAACACCTTAAAAAATAGCCTAACCCAAATGGCAAAAGAGGTCGAAAAAGCCAGTGAGGAGAAGAATGCCCTAAAAAGTAAAACTGGCCAAATGGAAAAGGAAGCCCAAAAGCTTACTGAAGAAAATATTTCCTTAAAAATTAGAATAGAGCAATTGGAAGATAGTGACTTTATGAGAAATCATGACACAGTAGAACAAATCAAAAAGAATGAAAAATTAGAAAACAATGTGAAATATCTCATGGAAAAACAACTGACCTGGAAAATAGATCCAGGAGAGATAATTTAAAAATTATTGGACTATCTGAAAGCCATGATCAAAAAAAGAGCCTAGACATCATCTTTCAAGAAATTATCAAGGAAAACTGCCCTGATATAGTAGAACCAGAGGGCAAAATAGAAATTGAAAGAATCCACAGATCTCCCCCTGAAAGAGATCCCCAAAGGAAAACTCGTAGGAATATTATAGCCAAATTCCAGAGTTCCCAGATCAAGAAGAAAATACTGCAAGCAGCCAGAAAGAAACAATTCAAGTATGTGGAAACACAATCAGGATAACACAAGATTTAGCAGCTTCTACATTAAGGATCGCAGGCATGGAATATAATATTCCAGAGGGCAAAGGAGATAGGATTACAACCAAGAATCACCTACCCAGCAAAACTGAGTATAATCCTTCAGGGGAAAAAATGGTCATTCAATGAAATAGGGACTTTCAAGCATTCTTGATGAAAAGACCAGAGCTGAATAAAAATTTGACTTTCAAATACAAGACTCAAGAACATGAAAGGTAAACAGGAAAGAGAAATCATAAGAGACTTATTATGGTTGAACTGTTTATATTCCTGCATGGAAAGATGATATTTGTAACTCACGAGTCCTTTGTCAGTATTAGGGTAGTGGGAGGGGAAAAAATTATATGTATGCATACATAGAGGGCACAGGGTGAGTTGAAGATGAAGGGGTAATATCTGGAAAATAAAATTAAGGGGTGAGAGAGGATTATACTAGGAGAAGGAGAAAGGGAGAGGTAGAATGGGGTAAATTGTCTTACAAAAAAACGAAAAGAAAAGGCTCTTACAGTGGAGGGGAAACAGGGGAAGGTGAGTGGGAATGAGTGACTCTTATTCTCATAGGATTTGGCTTAAGGAGGGAATAACATACGCACTCAATTGGGTATGGAAATCTGTCTTATGCTACAGGAAAATAGGGGGGAGAAGGGGACAAGAGAGCAGGGGGATGATAGAGAGAAGGGCAGATTGGGAAAGGGGTAATCAGAAGGAAGTACTTCTGAGGAGTGACAGGGTCAAAAGAAAGAATAGAATAAATGGGGAGGGGCAGGATAGGATTAAGGGAAATAGAGTTAGTTTTTCACAACATGTCTACTATGGAAGTGTTTTGCATAATTGCACGTGTATGGCCTGTATTGACTTGCTTGCCTTTTCAATGAGGGTGGGTAGGGTAGGAAGAAGGGAGAAAATTTGGAACCCAAAGTTTTAAAAACACATGTTTAAAAAAAATGTTTCCACATGCAACTGGGAAATAAGAAATACAGGAAATGAGGTATAGAAATCTATTCTGCCCTGCAGGAAAATAGAAGGGGAAGGGGTTAAGAGAAGGGGGAGGGAGAGATAGAAGGGAGGGCAGACTAGGGGAAGGGGTATTCAGAATGCATGCCTTCTTGGGGTGGGGGGAGGGGCAAGATGGGGTGAAAATATGGAATTCAAAATCTTGTGGAAGTAAATGTTGAAAACTAAAAATAAATAATTTTTTTAAAAAAAGTATCAGTAACAGAGTGAAACAAACAGAACCAAAAGTACAAGGTACACATTGACGACAATGATATAAACTTCATTAAAAAGAATACAAACTCTGAGTAACTGAAAAGCCAGTGAAGGTCCTAGAACAAATAATGAAATATGTGTCTATGTGTGATATGTGAGATGTGAGGCAATACTATAGCAGAATATTATATACATTGTTATATATTACTTTATATATTATATATATGAGCATATAAAGTGTATATATATATATACATACTTTATACATTACTAATTTACATATTTAGAGATCTTTTTATAACAAAACCTTTGAAAATCAGTCATAGTAATTATAGACAAGTGTTTACACATTACTCTCAAATATCAGCAAAATTATTTTTTTCATGAAGAAGGAAAACAGGAAAGTAAAATATATCAAAGAGCAGTAAAGTAAATACCTTATAGCCAACATCTGGCACAGCTGATTTGTCCCAGGAGGGAGGGATCGCAAAAGTGAAAGCACCTTGCCAGCTTCCCTCTCCTTGGTTACTGAAAAAAGAAAGAAATCAATTTTATTTTAGTTCATGTTGTCCATTCTTCTAGTGAAGAATACCAAGAGAATACCAAGTACAGAAGAATACCAAATACCACTCTAGGAAACTTCTGAGAATTACTGTCCTTTCATTCAGTTAGGGTTCCCTTCATATTTGCAATTAAATATATTGATGAGCACTGTGAGCAAGCACCAGCTAAAGGAATTTGAGATCCTCTTCTCTGATACCAAAGAAGAGTTAGAACTGCCAGAGGACAAGGAAGAAAAAGGAAAAAATGGAGGTGAGCAAGGCAAAATTTAAGAACCCGTGCAAGCTAGTAAAAGAAATTCTGGAAAAGAAGACTGAGAAGGTGGCAATCTCCAACTGGTCTGTGTCTTTGACCTGTTGCACTGAGGGCAAAGACACAACCAAAGTCATTATCCCCCCCCCCAAAAAAAGCTCTAAAAATAGAAGTTGATTTACCCAGCTTATCCAAAGAAAATTCAAGAATTGAGAAGAAACTCAAGGATGTTTAAACCTCCATAGTGTAACAAATATACTAAAGGGGACTCAGTGGAGGGGGGGAGGGTACATTTTTATTCATTCATGTAGCAAATCTAAATAAAGAGTAAATATTTGCTTTATTTCAGGTATTCTGCTTAGGTCATTTGAATATAATCCTCTAGCTTTCAAACTGTCACAGACTTAGACCACTTCATAACTGAGTAAGAAGAATGTATATACTCGGGATAATAAGTTGGAGGATTCTTGTCCTCTCATGTCCCAGGACAAGATGATGCCTACCTAGGTATCAAACAAATTGAAACTAGAATGATAGAAAGGATGTGAGACCTAGAAAGAGCTCATAACTTGTCATTTTAGGGATTATCTTGCCTGTTTTTTATTAAACTGTAAAACACAGGCTCTGGGAATTTACTGTAGCAGTTCATGGAGTTCTCCACAGTATAGAGTTTTAAAGAAGGAACAACACATAAAGAAAATTGTTGCCTCCATGGGTAAAATGTGCATTGAGTTAATGCGAAGAACCAGCTAGGTACTGAGGCAGTTAGGTGAAACAGTGGATAGAGTTTTTGGATGTGGAGTCAGGAACATCTGAGTTCAAATCCTGCCTTAGACACTTATTAGTATGGTAAAAACAATTAATTAATCAATTAAATAGTTGTCTAAGGGTCTTAGGATACATGTAAAATAACCAACCATTCGTATTCTTAGAATTGGGAATTGGGGGGGGGTGCGGGAGTATAACTATGTCTTTGCACCAAAACACATTGTAAATGATTAGATATATCTAGGAAGTATGAAGAGACAAGTAAGCAAAATGTTAATAACTAAAATTTTAACAATAAAATAAACCCCCATGAGCCTAATTCAAGTCTCAATAAGCTAATAAAAATATGATAAATACCTGGATTTGCTGTACCTTATCCTGGCTCTAAGTTACCAAATTTTTAAAACATAGCTCTGCCATTTCAGTAAAATGATAAACACATTTTATACATAAAACTACACATTTTTAAACAAAGCAATCAAACTTTTAACACAAAAATGTAATCAACTCAAAGAAATCTTGTTTCTTCCAATCCCCAAATACTGGGCTTTGTTAAGTAACTGAAAAAATGAAAATGGTTCTGAAGTATCCTACAGAGTAGACCATCCCACTGCCTAGGAATTAGGATCATCTAGGTCCTATCTGTACTTGAGCAGGGGGTAGCTAGATGGCACAGTGGATAGAGCACCAGCCCTGGATTCAGGAAGACCTGAGTTCAAATCTGGCCTCAGACATGTGATACTTACTAGCGGTGTGACCCTGGGCACTTCATTCCATTGGAAGGAAGGAAGGAAAAGAAAAGAAGAAAGACAGGAAGGAAAAGAAAGGAAGAAAAAAAAGCCTTCAGCAATTTACTCCACCTGTCTAGTTATGTTTCCTCACTTGGAAAAAAAAAAAGTGAGGAAATTAAACTAAATACTCTCTAAGATCTCTTCCAGTTCCAACATTTCTTGATTCTCAGAAAGAGGTGGTGAATCAAAGTCCCAGAGATAGTATTTATGAAATAACTAAATGAAGACAAGTATGAAAGAGGTGGGCTTTGTTGCCATGATTCTTCTCAAAGCCTTTTCCCCATTCTGATCCTTCAAACTGTGATGTTAACCAAACATGCTCTTAGTACACAGGTTTATGCTAAAGAATCAAATGGAGGGGACAAAAAAATGACCATTACAACGATGTATTACATTATAATAATGACTGCATTACACACTAATGACTGTAGTATAGAGATAAATCTGGGAATTATGACCTGACTCAGTAATCAGCCTGCTAGACCACCATATTGAAGCCATACTCTAGGAATTCCTTTCCCAATCCCACTGAGAGTCACCTCAGTGTTTTCAAGGAGCATCTCCCAGTAGTTGGGTCAAAGACAATTATTTCTCTTTGCCCAGAATGTGCTTTAATAGAACTATTTTCATCCACCAATGAGGCTATAGTGATTTTTAAGTCACAGAATATTAGAGCTAAAATGGACCTTAGAGATAGTTAATCACTGAGAAGGATATGTCAGAAAGTGACATAATTCCAAGTTAACTGTCACAGCATGACAGCCTTAGGATCATAGCTTTGGAGCTGGAAGGGACCTCGAGGTCATCTAGGCCAACCTCATTTTACAGCTGAGGAAACTGTAGGCCTGAGGAATTTTAAGAGCTTGTCCAAGGTCAGACAATGAATTGGTGGCAGAATTAGGTCTAGTCCATAGGATTCCTGGCTCCTGACAGTTCAGTATTTTTTCCAATACACCATACTGAAAGCCTTCTTTGTTCACACAATCAAATGAAGCTATGCAATCCTATACCACCTAGGGAAAAGAATAACAAACATATGGTATTATTAGTCTATGAATAAGAATGCAAAATGATCCAGTCACCAATGTCATTCCAGAAAAGGAGAGATTTTTTTATTTATCATTTATTACATGCCAGGTACTGTGCTAAGCATTTTACAAATATTATCTTATTTGATATTCATAACAATCCTGAGAGGTAGGTGATATTATTTTCCATGTTACAGTTGAAGAAACTGAGACAGACAAAGGCAGAAATTAAATGACTTGCCCAGGGTCACACAGCTATTAAGTATGTGAGGCTCAATTTGAATTAGGGTCTTCCTAACTCCAGGCCTGGCCCTCTATTCACTGTGCCACCTAGCTACCTCTAGCTAACGAGATTTTTAGAGTGAGCCTTATCTCACACCTTTTCTTTTCCTACCTTCAAGCAACTTAAAACAATATCATTACTTACTCACCGTTTCCTTATTTTGTCCACATCTTCAGGGGATACAAATTTTGGCCTCCTACATACTTTTCTTTTGGTTTGGCATATCAGATTTCTCTGAACCATTTCTTGAAAAAGAAATTAGAGACAGTTGGTTTTTTTTTAGTGATCAAAAGTAAAATACCTATATTTTTAAAATCATACACACACACACAAAGTCCCAAGGGATTCAATTATCCTAAGAGCCATTTCATCTGTGCTGTTAGAGAAGGCGTTAGAGAAGGAGGCATCATTCCCTCAATTTCTAGACCTTCTGGCTGTACCAACTAAGCTATGTCCTCAGGTTGCTTCAGAAGCAGAATAAATAACAATAATTTAAAATATATATATATATGTATATGTGTGTATATACACATATATGTATATGTGTATGTATGTATATGTGTATATGTGTGTATATGTATGCATACATATACATATGTGTATATGTGTATATACATATATGTATGTGTATGTGTGTATATGTGTATATGTGTATATATGTATGTGTATGTATGTATACATATATATGTATATGTGTGTGAGTGTGTGTGTATGCATATATATGTATGTGTGTATGTATGTATATGTGTGTGTGTGTGTGTGTGTGTGTATAGTATACTACTTTTAAGGTTAACCTGGTGGTAAGAGTACCAACTATTGGCTGCTGAGAACCCAGTGGATCCCACTCACATATAGCCAACAACCAAGATACCTTACAGCAGCACACAAGTGTAATCACTAAGAATTATTTCCTACCCCTCAAGGCCAAGAAGAGTGCAAATTATAACCCAGGCTCAGTTTATCACATCTGGCTTCTCTCTCCTTAAGGAGGGGGATCTCCCACAGCTAATCTATGATGAAGTCAGAAACTGGTAGAGCTAGGATGCATGTGCATCAGTGAAAACCGGACACATCAAGGGACACAAAGCCAAAATTATCATTCTTCTACCCTTCAACCTTGTCTGCAAGCAAAACTGTTTTGGCTTTGCTTTACATTTTGTAAAGGGAAATGATAATGATAAGCATGATAATAATAGCTAACATTTATATAGCACTTACTATGTCTCAGGCTTTAAAATATATGACCTCACTAGGTCCTTACAACAACTGTGTAACTACATGTATGTGGTAGTACTACATACCAACAGTATTATTATCCCCAGATTTAGAGATGTCAGCTATCTTACCCAAGGTCATACAAATGGTAAATGCTAACAGTCAGACTCTGAACCTAGATCTTTCCTGATTCAAAGTTCAGAACTCATTCTACTATGACCCACTGCCTTTAATAAACCTAATTCCCTCATATTGAATGTTTCAGGTTATCCTGCCTTTGCCCCCTCACGTTCTTCCCATTTTCAGGAAGCTATAAGGATAGACACTCACAATTTAAATTGTTTTACTATTTGTGATATTGCCTTCCATCCAAATATGGGCATAGCATTCAACTCCATAAAATGTCTTTCTTGTTTTGCTTGTTAATACTAGGGTGTGAGTAGTTCTTTGACCATCAGCTGTGGCATTAAAATCTACCATTCTTTGGTTAAGTAGGAAAGCATAAGTATTATACCTTTAAAGTTGATTTCATAGAACTGCTGTCCCGCCTGAAAGTCTACAGTGGCATATGAATCAGCAAGGAATACTGTTTCTATATCTACAGATGTTATTGAAGAAGTAGGATGACTTTCACCCTAAAAAAATAGAAATTTTGAGAACTTTGAAAAACATGCATACATGGATATAAGATATATATCTCATATCTCATTTTTGGCTCTGGATAAAATATGGACCACTTTTTATGACCTTAATTGGAAAACACAGGAAATTCAACTTTGTGAAAATAACATAAAAAAATCAGTTGGTACAATATGAAGGAAATGACTAGACAAATACATTACCACCTGTTGGTCAAAAACAATGAACTGTGGGAAAGGGGGAGCACTAGGAGTGTTAAATAAGGAAGGGGAAAATATTCTTGAAACCCATCCCCTTCAGACCAATTCAGTGGACCTGGATCATATTCAAATAGTAGTTCACCCTCATTTTTAAAGAAAACACATTATTTTATATGCCAAGCTAACTACTGACTTCATTTTTAAGTTACATCTTATTTTATTTTCAGTTGTTAATTCTCTCCCCTCCCATTCCTCCCCCCACCCACCCATTCAGAAGACAAGGAAAACAAAACCCATTTTAAATATACAGCCATGCAAAACTAATTCTCACATTACCATGTCTAAAAAAAAAAAGAAAAGAAAGAAGAAAGAAAAGAAGGAAGAGAAGGAAGGAAGAAAAGGAAAGGAAGGAAGGAAGGAAGGAAGGAAGAAAAATATAATTCATTTTGCAATCTCAGTCCATCAGTCGTCTATTTTGGAGGTGCTTAGCACATTTCCTCTTGAGTCCTTTGGAATTGTAGTTGATCATTATGTTGACTGGAGTTACTTAGTTTTTCAGAGTTGATTATTTTTTACAATATTGCTGATACTATATAAATTGTTTTCTTAGCTCCGCTCACTTCATTTTGCATCTGTTCATACAAGTCTTCCCAGATTTTTCTGAAACCATCCCCTTTTTCATTTCTTATAGTATAATAGTATTCTATCATATTTATATATGATTCATTTGTCCAGTCATTCTCCAATTGATGGGCATTCTGTTAGTTTTCAATTCTTTGCCACCACAGAAAGAGCTGCTATAAATACTTTTGTACATATATGCTCTTTTCCATTTTCTTTTATTTCTTTGGGGAATAGATCTAATAGAAGTATTGCTGGGTCTAAGGGTATGGACAGCTTAATACCTTTTTGGGCACAGAATGGTTGTACTAGTCTATAGCTCTACCAACAGTCCTTTAAATACCTGTTTTCCCACTTCTCCTCTAACAAGTCATTTTTCCTTTTTTTGTCATCTTAGCCAGTCTGAGTTGTTTTAATCTGCATCTGCCTAATTATTAGTGATTTATAGCATTTTTTCACATGGCTATTGATAGCTTTGATTTCTTCCTTTGAAAACTGCCTCTTCATATCCTTTGACCATTTATCAGTTGAGGAATGGCTCTTATTCTTGTAAATTTGACTCTGTACTCTATATATCTTAGAAATTAGGCCTTTATCAGAGAAATTTGCTGCAAAGATTTTCTTCCTCCAATTTCCTGCTTTTCTTCAAATATTAGCTTCATTGGTTTTTTAAAAAAATTTTTAAATTTTTTTGCTTTTTGGTGAGGTAATTGAGGTTAAGTGACTTGCCCAGGGTCACACAGCTAGTAAGTATCAAGTGTCTGAGGCCAGATTTGAACTCAGTTCCTCCTGACTCCAAGGCCAGAGCTCTACCCACTGTTCCACAGAGCTTCCCCTCACTGGTTTTATTTATGAAAAATCTTTTCAATTTTAAATAACAAAAATTGCCTATTTAACCTCCTGTGAACCTCTCTATCTCTTATTTGGTCATGAACTCTTCTCTTACCCCTGGATCTGACAGGTAATTTCTGCTGTGTTCCACTAATTTGCTTATGATGTAACCCTTTATGTCTAAATGCCCTCCCTTCTATCATCCCCCCCCTTTCTTTTACCCTTCCCCCCCATTTTCCTGTAGGGTAAGATAGATTTCCATATCCAATTAAGCGTGCATATTATTCCCTCCTTAAGCCAAATCCAATGAGAGTAAGATTCATTCATTCCCTCTCACCTCCCCCCCTTTTCCCCTCTACGGTAAAAGCCTTTTCTTCTTTCTTTTACATGAGCTAATTTATCCCATTCTATATTTCCCTTTCTCTTTCTCCCAGTACAATCCTCTCTCACCCCTTAACTTTATTTTTTAGATAGCACCCCTTCATATTCAACTCACCCTGTGCCCCTCTGTCTATATATATTACCTCCAACTACCCTAATTCTGAGAAAGGTCTCTTTCCTGTTTACCTATCCATGCTTCTCTTGAGTCTTGTATTTGAAAATCAAATTTTCTTTTCAGTTCTGGTCTTTTCATCAAGAATGCTTGAAAGTCTTCTATTTCCCTGAATATTCATTTTTTCCCCTGAAGGATTATACCCAGTTTTGCTGGGTAGGTGATTCTTGGTTTTAATCCTAGCTCCTTTGACCCCCAGAAAATCATATTCTAAGCCTTCCCATCCTTTAATGTAGAAGCTGCTAAATCTTGTGTTATCCTGATTGTGTTTCCACAATACTTGAATAGTTTCTTTCTGGCTGCTTGCAAAATTTTCTCATTGAGGGGCAGCTAGGTGGCGCAGTGGATACAGCACCAGCCCTGGAGTCAGGAGGACTTGAGTTCAAATCTGACCCCAGATACATAACACTCACTAGCTGTGTGACTCTGGGCAAGTCACTTAACCCCAATTGCCTCACCAAAAAAAAAAAAACCCCAACACAAAACAAAATAATATTTTCTCCTTGACCTGGGAACTCTGGAATTTGGCTATAATATTCCTAGGAGTTTTCCTTTGGGGATCTCTTTCAGGAGCAGATTGGTGGATTCATTTAATTTCTATTTTACCTTCTGGTTCTAGAATATCAGGGCAGTTTTCCTTGATAATTTCTTGAAAGATGATGTCTAGGCTTTTTTTCTTAAAATCATGGCTTTTAGGCAGTCCAATAACTTTTAAATTATCTCTCTTGGATCTATTTTCCAGGTCAGTTGTTTTTCCAATGAGATATTTCACATTGTCTTCTATTTTTTCATTCTTTTGGTTTTGTTTTATAGTTTCTTGATTTCTTATAAAGTCATTAGCTTCCATTTGCTCCATTCTAACTTTTAAGGAAGTATTTTTCTTCAGTGAGCTTTTGGACTTCCTTTTCCATTTGGCCAATTCTGCTTTTTAAGACATTCTTCTCCTCATTGGCTTTTTGGACCTCTTCTGCCATTTGGGTTAGTCTATTTTTTAAGATGTTATTTTCTTCAGTATTTTTTTGGGGTCTCCTTTAGCAAGCTGTTGACTTCTTTTTCATGATTTTCTTGCATCACTCTCATTTCTCTTCCCAGTTTTTCCTCTACTTCTCTTACTTGTTTCTCAAAATCCTTTTTGAGCTCTTCCATGGCCTGGGACCAATTCATATTTTTCTTGGAGGCTTTGGATATAGGAGCTTTGACTTTGTTGTCTTCTTCTGTTTGTATGTTTTGATCTTCTTTGTCACCAAAATAAGATTCTATAGTCGGACTCTTTTTGTGCTGTTTGCTCATGTTCCTAGCCAGTTACCTGACTATTAAGCTCTTTGTTAAGGTAACAGTCTGCTTCCAATGTGGAGAATGTACTGTGCCAAGCTTCAGGGGTTTTGTGCAGCTGTTTTCAGAGATACTTCTAGGGACCTATAAATGTTCAGTTCTTCCAAGGTGTTATGATCAAAGGTGAGGTGTTTACTCCTTTTCTGGCCTGTGCTCTGGTCTAATAAGTGACCACAAGCACTCTTTTCTGTCTTGGAACTGTAAGAAGGATTCTGTTTGCACTGCCTCCACAAGCTCCACCCTGCCAGCACTCTTCCTCAACCCAGGACTGTGACTCAGATCCAAGCAGGGGCAAAGCAAGAGAATTCTGCCTCAGCACAAGCAAAGAGATCCCTGCCATCCCCCTCTGATCAGAGGCTGGATCCCCCCTCTGTCTCAGGAGTTATTTTTTCAAAAGAGGTTTTGTACCTCTTTTATCAAACTTAATTGTTAATTTTCTAACCAAGTTTTAAAAAAGCATAAATGTTAATTTTTTTACATCTTTACTCCATAGCTCTCATTTCTTTTCTTCCTTTTTTTCCTACCACTCATTTAGTTTTTAAAAATAAATTATTTTTGTTCTTTCAAAGACTCTTTAATTCTTCTAGGAATTCTTGTTGAGCTTGTATCCAATCTGAATTTTTCTTTGATGCTTTGCCTGTATATGTTTTTAAGTCATTGTTTTCTTCTGAGTTTGTGTTTTGAGCTTGAGTTACCATAGGAACTCATCATGGTCAGGGTTTTGTTGCTGTTGTTGTTGTTTGTTTTTTCTTCTGCCTACTTCTTGACTTTGGCTTTTATGCTTATGTGGACTCTGTACCTCTGGGGTGTGGGGAAGATGTCTGGTCTGAGCTTCTAACCTTTTAACCTTCTGATGCTTTCATAGCTCTGTCTGGGGGCCTGTGTATTTTCAATGCTCCCAAAGTGGTTATAATCTGGGGAGAAGTCTATTCACTGCCCTCTTGGTCTTACCTCTGCAAGTTTTGCAGATCAAGGTTTAGGTCTGTTGGCTTTTGTATAGATGAATTTACACAGACTGCTACTTGACTCAGTCATCATTAGCATGCTGGAAATTTCTGCAGGTTCAAAGTGACTGAACCACCCACTCCCCTTTTGGGAATGCTGCTCTAATTATTCCACTGCAGGCTTATGCACTAGGCTAAAGACTAGACCTTTGTGTCAGCTCTACTCCTGGACTCAGAGCTACACAGCTACATTTTTGGAACTTGTTCCTTTTTCAGTACACAGCTAGCCTCACCCTCCCCACCCATGACCAGTCTTCTCTACCCTGGATCTTTGACCTGAGAGTAGGTAACGGATGACACAGCTGCCAGATGGCACCTGTTTCTGCTCCCAGTGCTAGTTCAGGAATCCCCTAAGATCTCTTTCTTCCCTGGTACTTCTTCCTCTTGTGCTTTGTCTCAACCCCCTTTCCATCCCTGGCCATTAGAATGCTTATTTCTACTGGGTGGCTTGCTTCTGGTTAATGCCTGTGCCTAGTGTCCACAGATCTCTCTGTCTCCCTGGGCTTAAAAAATGACTCACTGTGACTTTTTCCTGGCTTTCCTCATTAGAATTCAGTCTGGGGAATTTTCAAGGTTGTTTTGGAGAAAATGTACTAAGTGAGTTAGGCAAATATGCTTCTTCTCATTCTGCCATTTTGACTCTGTTTTGTAACTACTGGTTTAAAAAGAATTTAACAAGAAATAGGAAAGTAGGTTCCTTAGCTCATTTCTTATACTAGTAGGCAACTCTATCATGCAATAGACAAAGAAATATAGTGGCTTCTATTAGCTCATCGACTGGCCTGTCTAATAATAAAACCTATCCCATAATAAAACCTACAATTATCTTTCTATCATGTACAATTCAAGGCCTTAACATGTTACTCCCCTTGTCAAAGATAAGGAAACTAAGAACTTAAGTGGCTTATCCATGGTAGGAAGTACAATTAAAACTCAAGTCTCTACCAACTCAATGTCCATTGCTCTTTCACTATACCAGAGCTGCCTCTTAGGTGGTCAGGGTCAAGATAGCTTCAGATTGAGTAGAACTCCAGTGCTATTTACACCAAGTATAACCCACACTTCTCTGGGAACCACAGACTAATCTGACCCATATTACATTACCAGGAAGCAGAGAAAGTAAAGCAAATGACTATTCACTTCCCTAAATCCTTTTCCAAGTCTGACAACTGCTATAAACTGAGCTCCCTCTACAAGCAATTGACTGACGTTTCTTAAGCCTGTAGTTCATTTATCTATCTATATAGCTGATGACTTTCTCCTTTCCAAATGCGACAGATATATAGGAGATATCACTGAAGTATAATTGGAAATAGATGTGCTAGACATGGAATCATGTCCTCATTCACCTTAGTCTTATCCAAAAGTAAAAACAAACAAACAAAACCCAAAAGCAAACGTCTCAAGTTGGAGTGTAACAAAGAAAAACTTCTAGTTAAGACATTATAAAGTTGTAAGAAACTGGACAAGCTGGAACTTTCCATGCAGGATACATTCAGAATGAATCTCTGCAAAACTATTATGTCACACACACACACACACACACACACACACACACACACACACACACACACACACTATTAATTTCTCTCAGCTGGCTTGGATGAATATCAAAGTGATCTTCACATGTAGACCAAATCTAACAACCCAGTGAAAACCTCACAAAAAGCAAATCAGATGAATAGCCACTTACCTGGGTTCCATATTCAATCCACTGACCATTATCATTCAGCCAATACCAGAGCCATGTTGTGGTTAAGAGAATATTGGAAGGTTTGGTGACCGAGGAGGGGGTAGATAAACGACGCACTTGATTCAAACCACAGGTCATAGTTTCAAAATTGATATCCAGATCTCCCATTCTACAGAAATGAAGCAGAACAGGTTTTTAAAATAGATGGTCCAGTATATTAAAAATGTGCCTTTGTATGCATGGGAAAGAACAGGGCTACTTTTAATGTATAATCAGTATCTTCATGTGTGGGCATATCTCTCTAAGGATCTGGATAAAGCTCAAATTCAATTGAATTCAACAAAATTTTATTAACTCTAAAAAGGCCACTAAAATTAATGGAAACAAGGGGCAGCTAGGTGGCACAGTGGATAGAGCACCAGCCCTAGAGTCAGGAGGACCTGAGTTCAAATCTGCCCTCAGACACATAACACTTACTAGCTGTGTGATTCTGGGCAAGTCACTTAACCCCCAATTGCCTCACCAAAAAAAATTTAAAAAAAATTTAATGGAAACAACAACTTTAGTAAAGACATAGGATATAAAGTAAACCTACATAAATCATGAGCATTTCTGTGTGTTGCCAACAAAACCAAACAAGAAGAAATAGGATGAGAAATTCTGTTTAAAATAGCTACAGATTGTACAAAACATTTGGGAGTTGACCTACCAAGATACAAACAAGAATTATACGAAACAGTTACAAAACACTATTTACAGAAATACAAATATAAACAGAGAAATGTTAGTTACTAATGGTTGTTGTTCAAATCTAATAAAAATGACAATATTAATATACTTATGCAGTGCCATGCCAATTGAACTGCCAGTGCATTGCTTTATAGAGCTAGAAAAAAAAATGGTAGCCATCTTCATCTGAAGGAACAAAAGATCAAGTATCTTAAGGGAAATAATAGGGGGGAAAGTGGGAAGAAAGAGGGTCTAGAAGTACCAGATCTCAAACTATATTACAAAGCAGGAATGATCGAAACTATTTTATATTGTCTAAAAAATACAGAGGTCATTCAGGGAAACAGATTAGGTACAATATAGAAGAAAAAAATTCCCTATTTAAAAACAGCTGCTGAGAAAACCAGAATGTAGTCTGGTATAAATTAGGTTTAGACACACACTTCACACCATATGCCATGATAAGCTCCAAATGAAGAAACAATTTAGATTTTAAAAGGTCATATAATAAACAAATTAGAGAAGAGAGGAAGGAAATATCTTTGCACAAACAAAACTAATGGAGTTAAAATTAGAGGGGAAATAGTTAACTGGGGGGGGAAATCTTTGCAGCAAATATTTTTGATAAAGATATAACATCTAAGATATATAAGGAACTGATTCAAATATATAAGAACAAGCACCATTCCCCAATAGCTAAATGATAAAATGATACAAGTAGGTGGTTGTCAGAGGAAGAAAACCAAGCTCTCAACAACCACATAAAGAATGTTCCAAATCACAATTAAAAGAAATTCAAATTAAAGCATCTCTGAGATTCCATCTCATACCTATTTGATTAACAAAAATACCAAAGAAGGAAAATGACAATTATGAGAGGGGCTGTGGGAAAATAAACATAATAGCATACTTACCATTGGAAGAATTATGATTCAGTCTAGCCATTCTAGAAAGCAGTTTAGAACCATGTCCTAAAAGTCACTAAACTAGCCAAGTAATATCAGTATGAAGTCTACACCACAAAGAGAACAGAAAAGATGAAAGGAACAAGATACACAAAAGTATTTATAGTAGCTCTTTTTGCAGTGGCAAAGAACCAGAAACTAAAGGGATGCCTGTCGAGTGGAGAATGGCCAAACAAATTAAAGGATGTGAATGTAATGGAATGTTTTTATGCTATAAGAAATGATGAAAGGGACAGTTTCAGAGAAATTTGGGAAGACATATGCACTCATGCAGAGTGAAGTTAGCAGAAGCAGGCAAATAAATGCTGCATTATCAATAATGTTGTAAAGAAAAACAACTTTGAAAGCCTTAAAAACTCTGATCAACAACCTTTTGAGGTAGGTTCTATTATTATCCCATTTTACAGATGAATGTGCAGATAAGAGGTTAAGCAACTTGTCCAGGGTTACATAGCTATGAAGTATCTGAGGCAGGATTTGAATTCAAGTCTTCCTGATTCCAAGTCCAGTACTCTATATACTGTGCCACCTAACTGTAGGTGTCCTGGACTCTCTTCTCTTCTCCCTCGATATTACTTCATTAGGTGATCTTATCAGCTCCTATGGATATAACTGCCAGCTCTATGCTAATGATGGTAAAATCTATCTTTCCTGCACCAATCTCTCTGCTGACCTAATCTCACATCTCCAACTGCCTTTCACACATATTAAACTGGATATCCAGTAGACATCTTAAATTCACTATGTCCAAAACAGAATTCATTATCTTTCCTCCTAAACTCTTCCCTGCTCCTACCCTCCTTATAACTGCAGAGGGAGGTACTATCCTCCCAATCCCTCAGGTTCACAACCTAGGAATCATCCTGAATTCCTCACTCTCTCTTACCACTCCCACCCTCCATATCCAAGCAGTTGCCAAGGATTGCCTATTTCACCTTTGCAACATCTCTTGAATATGTCCCCTTCTTTCCTCTGACTCTGCCACCACTTTAGCACAGGCCCTCATCATCTCATATCTGGACTATTGCAATAGCCTGCTGGTGAGTCTTCCTGGCTCAAGTCTCTCTCTACTCCAATTCATCCTCCATTCAGTCACTAAAGTGATTTTCCTAAAGTGCAAGTCCAATCACGTCTCCCTACTACTCAAAAAACTCCACTGACTTGCTGTTGCCTCTATGAGTAAGTACAAAATGGTTTTTGGCATTCATTTATAACCTATCCCCCTCCTACCTTTCCAGTCTTCTTACATCTTACTACCCAAGATATACTCTTCAGTCTAGTGACGTTGGCCTCCTGGTTGTCCCATGAACAAGGCACTCTATCTTTTGGCTCCAGGCATTTTCTCTAGCCATCCTCCATTCCTCCTCAACTTCAACCACTGACATTCCTGACTTCTTTTAAGTCCCAATTAAAATCCTACTTTTGATGGGAAGTGTTAGTTCCATTGCCTTTCCTCTTAATTATTCTATTTATCTCGCTTATGGCTTACTATATACATACATTCTTTGTTACTGTTTGAAAATTTTCATATTTATTTCCAATATTCTTCTTTTTTTAGAGTTCCAAATTCCCTCCTCCAGCCCCTCCCCCAACCATTGAGAAGGCAAGCAATGATATCAATCATACATGTAAAATCATGGAAGACACATTTCCATATTAGAGATGTCAACTCCCTCCCCCCACCAAAAAACAAGAAAAAATAAAGAAAGTGAGAAAATTATATTTCAATTTGCATTCAGAGTTCATCAGTTCTCTCTCTCTCTAGAGGCAGGATAGCATTTTTCATTCTAAGCCCTTCAGAATTATCATGGATTATTGCATTGATTACAGTAGCAAATCTTCCACAGTTGTTACACAAATGTTACAACATAGCTATTACTGTGTACAATGAATTCCTGGTTCTCCTCACTTATCTTTGTGTCAGGGCATACAAGACTTCCCAAGTTTCTCTGAAACCATCCCCCTCATCATTTCTTATAGCATGATAGTATTCCATTACAATCATATATCATAACTTGTCCAGCCACTCCCCAATTGATGGGCATCCCCTCAATTTACAATTCTTTGCCATCACAAAAAGAGCTGCTATAAATATTCTTGTATATAGAGGGGTCCTTTTTCTTTTTCTTTTATCTGTTTGAGATACAGACCTAGTAGTGGTATTACTGGGTCAAAGGGTATACACAGTTTTATAGTCCTTTGGTCATAGTTCCAAATTGTTCTCCAGAATGGTCAGACCAGTACACAACTATACTAACAGTGCACTAGCGTACCAATTTTTCCATATTCCTCCCAGGACTTGTCATTTTCCTCTTCTGTCATGTTAGCCAATCTGATAGGTGTGAGGTGGTACCTTAATGTTATTTTTATTTACATTTCTCTAATCAACAATGATTTAGAGCATTTTAAAAATATGAATATAGATAGTTTTGATTTCCTTCTTCTGAAAACTGCCTGTTTATATCCTTTGACCAGTTATCAACTGGGTGATGCTCTTATTTTATAAATTTTACAAGTTCCTTATATTTTTGAGAAATGAAGGCTTTAACAGAGAAACATCCTGTAAAAAATTTTGATATTACTTCATTGTCTATATCTTTTAGCAAAATACAGTTACCCTGAATATCTCTTTCAATTAGGCCTATTTTTGCTTTGTCTGAGATCATGATTGCTACTCTTGCTTTTTTTTAAAGTTTCTAATATAAATTTATTTATTTGTAGTTTACTCATGCTTTTTTTACTTCATTGAAGGGTAATAGATTCTGGTCTAGACATTTTAATTCTTATGACCATTTTTTCTGCTCCAAATAATGTTGCTTGTTAAAAGCTTATTGTTGGATTCTGGTTTCTAATCCATTCTGCTATCCACCTCCATTTTATGGGTGAGTTCATCCTATTCACATTCAGCCCTCCATCTTACTTTCTTCTGTTTATCCACCTCTCTTTTTACCTTGTCCCTCCTCAAAAGTCTGTTTTGCTTCTAACCACTGTCTCCCTTAATCTGTTGTTTTTCCTTTTATTACCCCCTCATTTCTCTTATCCCCCTCTCCCCTCCTTTTTCCCTATTGGGTAAGATAGATTTCCATACCCACATGAGTGTGATATATTTATATCTATATCGATAGACAGACATGCAGATAGATAGACAGACAGACATACAGATAGATGGACAGATAATCTTCACTCTTTGAACCAGTTCTGATGAGTGAGATTCATGCATTGCCAACCTACCTCCATTTCCCCCTCCTCCATAAAAGCTCTTTCTTCAAGTCTCTTTCATGTGAGGTAATTTTTCCTTATTCTTTTTATCCCTTTCCCAGTGCTGCCCTCTTCCTCACTCATTCATTTTTTTAGATCATACCAACATAATCAACTCACACCCATGCCCTCTATTTATGTAGACAACTTCTAACTGTCCTAATAATGATAAAATTCCTAGATGTTATATGTATCATCTTCTCATACAGGCATGTAAACAGTTTAACCTTATTAAGTCCTTTATGATTTCTCTTTCATGTTTGCCTTTTTATGTTTCTCTTGAGTCTTGTGTTTGAAGGTCAAATTTTCTTTTCAGTTTTGATCTTTTCCTCAGGAATGTGTAAAAGCCTTCTATTTCATTGAATGTCCATTTTTTGCCCTGAAGGATTCTGGGTAGATTACTCTTGGTTGTAATACTAGCTCCTTTGCCTTCTAGAACACAATATTCTAAGCCCTCTGCTCCTTTAACATGGAAGCTGCTAAATCTTGTGTGATCCTGACCAGGGCTTCCTGATATTTGAATGGTTTCTTTCTCATTGCTTGTAATAATTTCTCCTTAATCTGAGAGCTCTGGAATTTGGCTATAATATTCCTGGGGGTTTTCCTTTTGAGAGGTGATCCATGGATTCTTTTAACTTCTATTTGTCCCTCTGGAACTTAGATATCAGGGCAGTTTTCATTGATAATTTTTTGAAATATGATGTCTATGCTTTTTTTTAAATCATGGCTTTCAGATAGCCCCATAATTTTTAAATTATCTCTCTTCAATTCATTTTCTGGGTCAGTGGTTTTGCCAATAAGACATTTCTCATTTTCTTCTGTTTTTTCATTCTTTTTATTTGCTTACCTAAGGAAAAAACTATAAGCCATCTTGCCATTTAGCAGCAATTTCCTTGTTTTTTAGTTTCATTTATAGTAAGAATGTCAATATTAACATGGTACCTTTTCTCCAGTAGTATTTTAACTCAATGATCTTTAGATGAGAACCCTACATTTTGGCAAATTATAAGACAAACAAAAACTAAAGAATATGATTTTTGGGCTTTGGACTTTCCTTCCACCATTCTTTGCTGTTTTGTGCCTAGCAATGTTGTGACTTTGGTGGTTGTGCCAATCTCGGCTATAAGTAGCTGAGGATGGGAGGAAAGAGGGAGGAATGGTACCTCCAGAAGATTCTCTTCTGTCTATTTAGTCTCTCTTCATCACTCAGTAACTCTTCTACCATGAGAAAGGATGAGGATGAAAACAGAATAATCATTACTCACTGGACTCCAACATTTGGGAAAAGAGGCGGAAGACCAAGGGCCAAGTTGAACAGGAGACTGATGTATGAGGGAGAAGAAGGAGATGGGGCTGGGGAAACATATCTAAATGGGAGAGAAGGAAAATTGTCATAGTAAGTTATCTCTCAAATCTTGAATGTATTACTATGATAAATGGGTAAAATCCTAACCTGTAAAGTAAGGGAGAAAAGCAGGTTCCAAGTTCCCCTCTTGAGCTTAACTTAGGGAACCCTGTAACTTTTAGAATCAACTGACCTAAGGTGCCTTTCCCTGGAGCAGAATAAATAGTTTTATTCCTTCTCTAGGCAGCAATGCAATGCTTAACCCAAAGAAATTAATGTCTAATCATGCCATTTCCTCCCTGGTAGAAGAGACAGGGTGATATGATAATAGTGGTAGTTTAATAAAGAGAAGCAGCTTGGGGTAGTAGACAGAGAGCTAGCCTCAGAATCAGGAAAACCTGGGTTCAGGTCCTGCCTCTGACATGTACTAGGAAAATCACCTAAACTTGCAGTGTCTCCAAGCAAATCTCTAATACTATAACTTGACAAGAAATTTCCAGTCTGCATTTGTAGAGTTTCCTCACCTGGGAACATCTTATACCAGTAAAATCACAAGTCTGATCCTTATCCCTAAATTTAGAGGAAAAATAATGTCTCTTTTCAGGAGAACACAGGAAAAGGAGAAAGCATAGTCCCAGTTACCAGGCCTAAGGCTTTGAGCATTCCAGATGAAAAAGGGTAGAAAAGGCTGCCTGAAACACCTAGTCTAGGGTAGCTATCAATGGTACTTCTCAAAGAATAACTACAGATATGGGGAGCCAAAGGATAGAATAAAGAGTCTTCTGTGGATTCCTTCCTACAGGAAGTTCACTTTCTCACTCAAAGCAAATCAAAATTGGGAATTCTCCAACTGAACCAGAGAAAAAGGGCACTAGAAAGCTGGTTCACAGCACCTGTGGGGAACCATGGGGTAGAATATCACATCTACTGCCATTCACAATAAATATGTTGTTTGATTTTGTTGAACAGAATTCTTTCTCTTTCCTTTTTTATTCTTTGTTACAAGGAATTGTTATTTTTAGGGGTGAGGGTGGGAAGGATATGTTTGCAAAATGAAGGTGAGATAAAAATGAAAGATATTTTGAAAAAAAATTAAACTATACGTAAAGCACTTCATAAACTAAATCTGTTATTCCTTCAGAGTTCCCTTTAGTACATTGCTGTTCAAATAGTAACTACTTAGTAGCTAGATTACTCACATTTGGAATTAACGTCAAAAGTATCAAATGACAACAATAGCTCCCATGAACAAAATATTTCAGGTGTAACAAATATTTAAGGTATACAAAGCACTGTGCTCACTGAGGAAAGTATTGTAAATATTATTATCCCCAAGTATGAAAAAAACTAAGATTAGGTGATTTGCCCAGGTAGTCGAGCGGCCAGAGTACTGTTTAGATAAAATTTATGGATCTTGTTTCAACATCAAAGTGAATCTGTTACCTGATACAATGAATAAGTTTAAAATCTGAATTTAAAAAATGTATTTTTTTTTGTTTTTTAATAATATTTGTCCCAATTACATGTAAAGACAATTTTTAACTTTTAAAAAAATTTTCAATTTCAAATTCTCTCCCTTCCTCCCTCACCTCCCCCCCTCCCTTAGACGGTAAGCAATTTGATATAGGTTATACAGGTGTAATCATGCAAAACATTTCTGTATTAGTCATTTTATGAAAGAAGACACAGACCAAAGGAAAGAAAACCATGAAAAAAACCTTTTTTTTTCCAGTTGTTAGGATTTACCCAAGCAGTATGAATTCTAAGGTTACACATAGCTCTTCCAAATTGAAAGTCACCTCAACAAATTGAAACCATCCTTGTCAAATGTAGCCACAATTTGTTTTTTCATCCATGAGAAGCTGATCAGTGTTTACTAGGTCTTTTCTATGATTCAACACCACCAGAAGCTAAAGAAATATAACTGGGAATATATTTTGGGCTTTCACATTTGGTCCTACTCCGGAGCTCAGGGAAAAGGATGCAAATCTCACCTTACCTGGAGTTCTTTGGGTCACAATAGATTTTTTCAATCCCTTCCATCATGGGAAGATCATTCCAAACAGTGCCATCCAACTTTTGCCATCGGTAAGGCAGCTTGTAATGAATATTCCTACAGTTATCTATAAAGAAAATGAAATCCTCAATGAACATGAAATACTAGTAGACTGTAAGAAGAGAAAATAAATGTGAGAACTGCTAAAGAATAAATAGGAATATGACTATGTGTTGTCCATTGAGTATAAGACAGTCAGACAAATAAGTAATAATATCATTTTTCATTATTGTTTATGGTAAAAAGGTATCTTATATCCATTATCTGATTCCATCCTCTTATAAATTCTGTTTGGTAGGTAATCTATGGAGAAGTTTGTCATTTCCTTCTTCCTTCCCCAGGGTCTCCATTTTACAGTTAAGCAAACTGAGGCAAACAGAGGTTAAGTGACTTGCCCAGGGTCATATAGCTAGTACGTATCGGAGGCTAGGTTTGAACTCAGGTCCTCCCAACTCCACGCCCAGCACTCTATCTGCTGTGCCACCTCTTCTGAACCACCTAGCCTCCTAATACCCCCTTTAGAGAAATGGAAAGAGAGCAAGGCCACTCAGCTCACAGCAAATATAGCATGAGAATCTGGACTTGAACATTTGACTCAAAATGAAGTGTTATTTCCAAATTCTCCCACTTTGAGAAGCAGCATGGTATAATGTCTTATATAAATATACCCCACTTGGGATAAACATGTTCTAGAAAATCTGAATAGAAGTCCTTTTTTTCTTGGTAAATTAAATCTTATTTTAAATTCATTCATTCATTCATTCAACAAGCATTCATTAAAAGCTTACTGGGTGCCAGATACCATAGCATAATAAGGACTGGGAATACAGAAACAAAAACTAAACAGTCTTTGCTCTCAAGAGCTTACATTCTACTGGGGGAGTGGGGAACAACATATATACATATAAACACGTACAAAACGTACACAAATGAATGAAGGATGGGACGCCATCAATCAATTATCAACGAACATTTTGTTAAGTGCCTACTACGTGCCAGGCATCTCCTACATCAATGAAACTATCTTTGTCAAGAAAACTCCATGGTCCATGGGGTCACAAGGAGTCAGACACAACTGAACAACTGAACAACAAATGTGCCAGACATTGTGCTAAGCACTGGAGATACAAAAAGAGGCAAAAGACTGTCCCTGCCCTCAAGGAGTTTATAATCTAATGGAGGAGACAACATACAAAGCAAGCCATATACAGGGTAAATTAGAAATAATTAATAAGAAAGGCACTGGAATTAAGGAGAGTTGGGGAAGACTTCCTGTAGAAGGTGGGATTTAAAGGAAGTGTCAGGGACTTGGGAGAGAGAAGGGGATAAGTAGCATTTGAGCTGAGCTTTGAAGGAATTTTCAAATCCTAATAGTGAGAGGAGCAAAGGAAATGCTTTCCAGGAATGAAGTACAGATACACGCCTATTCAAAGGCACAGAGGGAAGAGTAGACTGTTATACATGGGGAATAATAGCAAGTGGCCTCTTTAGCTGGAACAAACAACTGGGGAAATTTACTTTTAAAGGAATTCTGTGCTACTCTGGACTTCTCCACTGTATTCCCAGGAACCTCATTGTCCCAAAAGATTGCATTAGCCTTGGTGTTCATAACTCATCAGTACCCTCTACCCTAAGACCTTTACCCCTACCTCTACCCTGATTGGAGGGTGGAACAAAGAGCTCCTGCCAAAGCTTCCATTTAAGAAAGGCACTCAGGCCAGCCACCTCTTCATTTCTGATCCAGCTACCATCCTTTGGAATTCTCCATCATCACCTGGTTAGCATAGTGCCTGAAACATTATAGGACCTTAAAACATGTTTATTGACTTAATGACTGAATTATTTTTTTAAAAGAGTAAGGGGGAAATTATTTTTGAAATTAAAATAATCCCACACATCAAAGTATCTATTCTATAAATTTTTAATTTTGAGTATTGGGTTTTCTAAAAGCACGACACACCTGAATCAACATAATGATCACAACAGAAATTTGTCTAGCATAGATTACAAAGCATTTTCTTTACATTACCTCATTTAATCAAATCTGACAAGAAATAAATGTGAAGGGAGGAAAAATTCCATGGTCCTGGGCTAACATCAATCTACAAAATTTTGTTTTTGTGCACTTATTCTGGCAAGGTTTTGGATTAAGCAGTGGGGATACAAAAAGCAAAGTAAAGTAGTCCCTGGTCTCTAGGAGTTAATCTTGCATTATGAATTTCCTTGCCTTCTTAAATAGTTTACCAGACATAATCTTTCCACAGGATCATAGTTAAAAACCAAATTATCTAAAATACAGTGCTCTAAATTACTAATAATTAGAGAAATGCAAATTAAAGCAACTTTGAGGTTCTGCCTCATAAATATCATACTGGCAAAGATAACAAAAGAGAAAATGTTAGAGGTTGGCTGCAGGAAAACAGATGCACTAATTAGTACACTGTTGCTGGAGCTATGAATTGGTTCAGTCATTCTGGAAAGTAATTTATAACTATGCCCCCAAAGTTATTAAACTGTGCATATCCATTAGCTGTACTACTACCACATTATTACCCCAAAGAGAGCAATGAAAAGAGGTAGTACATATACTACATGTACAAAAGTATTTATGGAGGCTCTTTTCATAATAGCCAAAGATTGGAAACTAAGAGTGTGTCTTTAGGAGAATGGCTAAACAAATTATGTTATATAAATTAAATGTAATATTACTGGAAGACAAGAAATGACAAAATGGACAGTTTCAGAGGAAATCTTTGGAAAACCTCTATTAATTGATTTAGAAGGAAGTGGGCAGACTTAGAGGAACAATTTATAAATAACATCATAAAGAAAAACAGCTCCAAAAGATTTTACAACTCTGATCAAATCCATGATAAACTGTAGTCCAGAATGATGAACTCACCCACTTCCAGAGAGGTAATGAACTAAATCGCAAAGATACATTTTCAGGCACTGCCAATGTTTGGCTGGACTAGGCATAATTATGATAAGGTTCATATTTGGACCAGGGGAATTCTTTTTGTTGTGTTGTTCAATTGAGAGGAGAGTGGGAGGGAAATTATAAATGCACATAAAATAAATCATTTTTAAAAGAAAAAAAATTAGTTCATTTTATAATGTTCTGTCTTCCAATGAATGAGTGAATGAATGAAAAAGATAATCCCATTTTTCCTCTGTAAAAAGACATTTGGTTTCCCACCTCATACTTATTTTAAAATTTTTCTTTTTTATTATTACCTTAATAAATACCAACCCACTCCATTTTTCAAAGCTGGATTTTCTCAGGTGAAAATGAAAAAAAAAACGATAAATTCCTAGCAATTTAGGGCTAGAAGAGACTTTAAAAATTATCTAATCTATTTTCATTTTTCAAATGAAGACACCTGGGCATCATTTAAGAGCTCTGTGCCTAAGACTTCAACACAGTTACTGAGAGACAGTATCCAGACAAGAATTCATGTTGGCAAGTTTGTCCTTGAAGAAATAATAAGAAAATGTACCTCCCTTCTCTTGAGGAAGAGATGGGGTGGGGGGGAGGGTGTTGGGGGAAGAAGGTGGAACTATGAAGGTTAGTTTCCTGACCTACTTCTTCTGAATTTTTGTTGTTGTCGTTATAAGGGGGTGGCTTACTGGGTAGGAGAGGATTAAAAACAAAATGTGCCAATAAAAAATCTATTTAAAAAAACCCTTTCAACTCCAGTGTTCCTTCCACCATACCTCACTGCCTCTTTCTTAAAGGATTCCTATATTTTAAAAAAACTTGACATTAGCTACTTTATCAAGTTTCCATGACCATGGGCAGATAGCATTGGGTATGCCCCAGGAATGTAACACACAAGAACATGTTAAATGTTCCCTTATTGTGTGGGGACCTGTGTTTCTGGGGTGCCTTAAGATGAAACTGTAGAAAGTGAGTTAAGAAAGAGCCCTGCTCTTTCCTTGCTGTAATTTACCTTCACACTGCCAACAGAGACAGAGACAGACAGGAACAGAGAGAGACAGAGTTGGCACCAAATATTTAAACTATACAATGAGTAAATAACAAAATTAGAAAATGGCATACATTATCATCCCTAATGACTTGATTAGGAAGTTTTACCTAACTGTTTTCAGAGAATATATTTTGTAGAAGGAGTTGTCTAAGTTTTTCTTAGAGAATTTCTATTAACTCAAGAAAAATATGTGAACAAATTCTTTAAAAATAAAATTTATTCAAGTATAAAACTAAAAAATATATGTACTCAAAAGTAAAATATACTCAAATATAAAAATAAAAAATATATGTACACAAAAAAAATTTATTCAAGCACACACACACACACACACACACACACATACACACACACACAATATCGAATCAGGCACAAAACCTTAGGTTTAATTGGATTCGATCCCCTGAGTCTTGAAAGGTTTTTTAATATTGAGTCTGTCTTTTAGTCCTCTCTTCTCTAAAAAGACACAACACTTGAATTTTTCTTTAAAAGAGGATGATAATAACAATAAAGAACACAGGATTTTTCAAATTCCAAACTTGGAAAATAGAATTTGTGCTAACTTTATTTTAACTGCCAATTTATGCTGCTATTCTATAGAGTGAGTTTACATCAGGATGGAAAGTAGGAGCTATTTCATTCTGTTCTGTTACAAATGCAACTCACTTTTTTGTTTGCAGAATTTCCAGATGTAGTAAAGGCAAATCTCACTGGTTTTTGTCTTCTCATTGCTTGTAGAAGCAGACTCAGTTCGTTTATCTGTTAAAAAACACAAAACACAGAGATCTGAAATGACACATACAATAAATGTGTTTCTACCAGCTTGCGATCTCTGTTTAGTGAAACTGTATCTGTAAGCTGCTAGTAGTAACTATGAGTAAAGATCAAACTATGATGTTAAAATAATCAGAAATAAAACTTAAATTCAAGAGCATGGAAGAATGGCCAAGGACAAGAGATATAATGTATGGACATATATATGAGATATACACATATATGGAAATTTAAGAGAATCTCAGAGTCAGAAGGCCTCAAAGTCCATCTAATTCAAACATTACCAGAAAGAAAATCTTATCTACAAAAGCCTTAATAAGTGATCATCAAGGTTCTCCTTTTGAGAACTTCAGGGGGATGGTGCCCATTCCAGTTATGGATAGCTCTAATGAGTAGAAAGGTTTTCCTGATCCTGTGCTCAGATTTACTACCCTACAACATTCATGGTTCTAACAAACAATTCTGATCAGTAATCTGCATTGACAGCCCTTCAAACAAATAATCAAGTCCCTTACAAGTCTTTCTCTAGGTAAAACATCTCTAGTTCTAGTCCTTCAACCAATTCTCATATAACATAAATAGTTTCCAATCTGATCTATTTTTCATTTTCTACAAAAATCTAAAGGAGGTTAACATGAGCCTTCAAAGGTAAAACCATTTTCTGGCTTGCGACTTCTTGGCCTGGTACTTGGTTTTACCTAAGGCGTTTGGGTCCCAAGGATCCTTCTGCCTCGGTCCTACGTGTCAGCTATGCTAAGCAGCATAATATCCAATGGTATGAGGATATTTCTGGCCTCAGTAGATTACTTTTGGTTGCTGATTACAGTTTGCTCAGTACTTCTGCGTTCTTTTGCTATGTGATAGCCAAAAAACTTATGGGATCAGCCTTAAGATACTCATGTTTCCAGAATGAAGGAGGTGACAGTCCCATCCTTTTTGGCCCTGGTCCAAACATATTTGGAGGACTGTGTTCATTTCTAAGGACCATAGTTCAGGATGGATATTGACTAGTTAAGGTACAACTAGGAACCTATCTATATCAAATTTCTTGCTTTCTCAATGAGGGGTGAGAGGAAAGAGGGAGGGAATTTGGAACTCAAAATCAATCCAAAAAAATGTTAAAAATTGTTTTACATGGGTAGCTAGGTGGCACAGTGGATAGAGCACCGGCCCTGGATTCAGGAGGACCTGAGTTCAAATCCAGCCACAAACACATGACACTTACTAGCTGTGTGACCCTGGGCAAGTCACTTAACCCCAATTGCCTAAAAAAAAATGTTTTACATGTAATTGGAGGGTAAATAAAATGCCGAATAAAATTTTTTTAAAAGTTTATTGAGTAGACAATTCCAAAGGACCCATGATGAAAAATGCTATCTACCTCCAGAAAGAGAACTGATGAATGCTGAGTGAAGAATGAAGCATACTTTTTTTTTTTACTTTATGTTTCTTGCTTTTTATTGTGGGCTTTTTTTGCAACACGGCTAATATGAAAATATGTTTTGTATGACTTCATAAGTATAATTGATATCATATTGCTTGCCTTCTCAATAAAAGGGGAGGGCCTAGAGGGAGTGAGATAATTTGGAACTCAATTTTTTTAAATGAATGGTAAAAATTTTTTTTTAATTTAGGAGTTTATTTTTTTTAAAAAAGAGTTTGTTGAGTAAGGAAGCGACATGATCAGCTGTCTGCTTAAGAAAAATCACTTTGGCAATCATGTGGAAGGAAAACTAGAATGTTAAGCTCCTTAAGTGCTCTCTTATTCTCACCTTTGATTCTTCTCTCTCTAAATCAGGGGTTCTTAACCAAAGAACCATTTAGCCAAAAAAATGTATCCTTAGATAAATTTCAGGGTGTCCATGAACGTGGACAGGAAAAAAATTACATCTTCATTTTAATATAATTTTATGAGTTTAACAATATTATTCTGAGAAGGGCTTCACCAAACTGTGAAAGCAGGGGAAGTGGTCCCCCTTAACACAAAAAAGTTTCAAGGACTGTATTCAGTGCCCACTCTCTTGAGAGTTGGACCTCAATTATGGTGTTTGTCTTACTGGGTTCCCTAAGGACACAGACCATATTGTATCTAGTTGTAGCTCCCCATGATGCCTAGCACACAGCCGGTGCTCAATATGTATTTTAATTGGATATTCACCAGTAAGTATTTATTATATACCTATTATGTGTTTGGTAGTATGCTAGACAGGCAGGGGTATATAGATAACTTTCCCCAAAATAAATAAACAATATAAATCTTTCTCCATTCATGGCTTCTCTCCCTGTACTTAGTTCCAGGTCTTCCAGTCATTGGACACACCTACTCTAATGCCCTGCCCCCATTTCAAACTGTGAATGACTAAGGCACAGCGTGGTATCACTTTTCCCAAATATCTCCTAACCAAAAGTTGGAAATTCCTCTCTCCTCTGAAAAACAAATTGAAGCCCTTCAATTTCTAGCTTTCACTTTCACTACCTTTTTTTTCCAGGTGCCAAAGTACAATTTCCTCCTTCCTTCTCATGCTATTCTGATAAATTTCTCCTTTTTCATACTACACCAGCCTTCACTCATTCATAAGTCACCTCTTTCTTACTGGTCCCGTAGTTTCCAGCCTCCACTTACTCCAAAACAGTGTACAAAGCCACGTCCTATAGGACCGTGAACAGTATTGGATCACAGAAGGAGAGGCTCAAAGCTAGACCCAGGAGAGGACATCAGTGGTATATCTTAAAGCTGATTGTCAAAAGAAAATCAGAAGTTTTCCTAGTAGACAGCAGTTAGGGATACAAGGGTCCAAAGCAGTGAAGAGGTTCAGAAAACAAGTAAGCCAACAGCAGCAAGAGACAAGGTAAAGAAATCCGGAAATTCTGGTGGCTTCTCTGTCAACCAGGAAATCTCTTTTAGGCTTCTTGACAGATCAAGAGCAAATATTAGAATGTGGCCTGCAGTCAGGCCATGTGACAGATTTGGTGATTGGGCTTGGTAAGCCACCAAACGGTTGATGGATTTCTAGATTAGTTGCCACTGAGCCACAGCATGTGCACTCTTAGAAAAGTGAGGTACCCAGCAAAGACACATTAATCAGGGTACTGTACTAAATGATAACTTCTACTTCCTGAGTACAGTACAATCAACCATCACGTGCTCAAAGCTGCCCTACAAGAAAATGATTGCAAGTAATAAGGGAAAGATGGCTAATTAGAAGGAAAGTCAAGTTCTAGAAGAGTTCATTGAAAACCAGTCCAACAAAGGGCCTTTGGATGAGGAATTTGCTCAAGATAATTGTGTGTGTCTACTCAAACAAAACTCCCATCAGTGCCAGTATTGGAGAAAGAATACTGGTTTGTGGGATAAGTGGTCAAACTCCAAAGACAGTGTGGTATAGTAGAAAGAACACTGGATATGGACCCAGAACTCTGCTACTTACTACCTGTATGGGAAGGATAAAGCAAAGAAAGAGAACTATATACAAATAAGACTAATGAATATTAATATAAAATTTTAAATAAAATCATAACAAAAAGATTAAAGCAACATCAAAAACTTATTCACTACAAACAAGTCAGATTTATGCCAGAGACATAAAAATGGTTCAATATTGGGGGAAATTAACACAATAAATCATATTTTAAAATGCCACCAAAAGACATGATTTTATTCATAGATGCTGAAAAGGCCTTCAACAAAGTACAATACTCACTCATACTAAATAATAAAAAGTACATAGCAAACAAAAAGCTAGCATTATTAGCAATGGGGAAACCTTGGAAGATTTACCAATAAGTATAGAAGTGAATGAAAGAATGCTTCCTTTCTCCAATGTTAACATCCATTGTTCTAGAAATGCTTCCAATAGGAATAAAATAAGAGAAAGATATTAAAAGCATAAAGATTGAAAAGTAGAAATTAAAATTATCCCTATTTGCTAACAAAATGATGACTTACTTAGAGATACCCAGAGAATCAGCAAAGAAACTGAGACAATAGATAACCTCAGTAAAGAAGTAAGATACAGGATAAATCCACAAAAATTCACCAGCATTTCCATCTAACAAAAAACAAAAGCCAGAGGGAAATAATCAAAAGAAAGTTCTCCTTAAAAATAGCTGCAATATACATAAAATGTTGGGGAGTCAAAACACACTCAAGATGTCAATAAAAAAAAGAGCTTAAAATAATAAACCAAGAACTTTTTGTGGTTACCCAGGACTAGAAACAAATTAGATGCCCATCAATTAACAAACGGCTAAATAAATTATGGAATATCATGGAATACCACTGCATTGTAAGAAATTATGAAGACGAGAGAAGTTCATGGGAAGAGAAGAATAAGAAGAGCATTCTCCAGAGAGGAGCATTAGAAGACTTAAATGAACCGATGCTAAGTTTAGTAAGAAAGAACAAGAAAACAATATAAATGATAACAACATAAAAAGAAAGAAAAAAGGGGGGGGATGAGATTGAGTGGAATGACTAGGTTTGCCTCTAGAGATGAGTAAAATGTGCCCTTTTCACTTCTTTGCAAAGATGAAAGATGATGGTTATAAAACATTTTGCATACCATCAGTCCCTACTGACATTTGGTTAATTTTGCCAAACTGCTTCCCCTTTCTTTTATGCTCTTTGCTATAAGGGATAGCTTTTGGATGGGGGAGAGGAGAGTTAGATTCTGAAATAAAGGTGAATCCAAAACAAAAGATATCAATCAAATTTTTAAAATTAAAACACAAGAATCCCTAGGTAACCTTGTGCAAGTTACTTAAACCTTTTCGGTCTGGAGATTTTTGATCTATAAAGTGAAGGGGTTGGAGCAGATGAACTCTGTGGTACCTTCCAGCTCTAAAGATGACACTATGAATTTTCTTAAATGTGGCCATGGCAAGTTTTCCAAAGGACAAAACTAAGATTGACCAAGTAATGTGAGGCTTACAAGATTTCTCCAAATGTCCAGCAAAGGAAAAAAACCAACCAATCAATCTCCACACTGTTATTCATGGTAAGCCCCTCCATTCTTACCTTTCTTCTTATCAAAGGACTTGCAGATCTCTGAATGTTTATACTTGCAGATTCGCTGCATGTTTAAAATGGCAGAGGGACTCAGCCCTTGCTCCCTCAGCAACTTCAACACATTTTCCGCGTGTAGATCATGAGATCGCTTGCACTTCTGAAATCTACACTCCCCCCAGATGAAGTGCTTACAAACGTGAAGCTTGGTGCAATTATCCTGGAGGTTGCAGGATCCATGGGGCCCAACACCTCTGTTGTAGAAGGGGCAAACCTGGAATAAGAGAATCAGGAAGCAGTTCAAATTATTATTATGTAATTATTATATTATATAATACTATGGTTATTATGTTATAGACTTATTATGTATATTCAAATTATTGGGGGGAGGGGGGCAGGGAGGGCACGGGGTTAGTGGACCGTAAGTTCAATGAATCAAGTGTGATATTGCAACAAAAAAGCTAACGCAATTGTAGGCTGCATTAAGAACAGCATACAAGGGTCAGCTAGGTGGCACAGTGGATAGAAAATCGGCCCTGAAGTCAGGAGTACCTCAGTTCAAATCTGGCCTCAGACCAAACACTGGACACTTACTAGCTGTGTGACCCTGAGCAAGTCACTTTAACCCCAATTGCCTAAAAATAATTTTTTTAAAAAAATTAAAAAAAAAAGAATAGCATACAGCTAGATCCTGATTAGTGTAAATAATGAATCCTGCAAAGTGGTTTTTCACTTGAAGTGGTATTTGAATTTGCACTGATATTCAAAGATATCATTTTATAAATATGATACCTGGTTCCAGCCCCATGGAAATATGAAATGCAAATTTGAATTATGTGACCACTCTACAAGACTCATTATTAGTACTAGTCAGGACCTAGCTGTACCTTGTGGAAACAATAAGGTTAGGAAATAATAGCCCATTTGTACTCTAACCTCATCAGACAAGTCTGACATTTTCAGTTCTGAGTGCCACATCTTAGAAAGGAATCTGGTCAGCTGGAGCTTCCGGTTGAGAAAAATGAAAAAAAAATGCAGAGCCTCAAGGATTAGTTTAAAGAACAGAGTGGGTTTTATTCCGGAAAACATAAGGTCAGGAGGCCAAGACAGTAGTCTTCAAGAATATGGAAGGTTGGACTGTGGATGAAGGATTATAGTATTACTTTTATTGGCCCCAGAGGGCAGAACTAGTAAGTTACAGAGACAAATTCAAGCTTGATGAAAGTAAAAATCTCCTATTAGTGCATGGATTCTTTTTTTTTTCTTTTTTTTGATGAGGCAGTCAGGGTTAAGTGACTTGCCCAAGGTTACACAGCTAGTAAGTGTCAAGTGTCTGAAGTCACATTTGAACTCAGGTCCTCCTGACTCCAAGGCCAGAGCTCTGTCCACTGCACCACCTAGCTGCGCCTAGTGTATGGATTCTTAACCTGGAGTCTGTGAACTTTTTTTTTAAACATTTTGGTAGCTATTTCAGTACAAGGTGTTCCCAAAATCATAGTGCAGTTTTAAGTTACTAAGAGCTTAAAACTAGATACATCATAAAATTGGTCTTCTTTATAAATTCTGTGAATTTAAAAACATTATTCTGAAAAAAGCTCTTTTCACCAGACTGTCAAAGAAGTCCATGAAAAAAAAAAAAGGTGAAGAGCCTCTGCATTAGAACTCTCTTAGAAAACGGAAAGGGGTTGTTGGGAAGTGACCAATATATCGAAAAAAAAGTCTATCAATTTTCAAAAAGGGATTAAGACACTTAGCAATTAAAGATTCCCTCTTATCCAGTTTTAATATTGCTCCTTTTATTCCAAAGATGTCATTGGGTAAATTCTCATGGAAATGTACAGATAATTTTCATATAACCAAGCAGGCAGAAGATTCTAAGTGGGCCAGTCAAGGGGATTGAATCATAGATTTATATGAGTAAGGTGGGGAAGAAAAGGACTTATTTAGGTGAGGGCAAGAATGCCAGAGTTAGAAGAGGATATGACCATAGGAAATATAACTGATTATAAATGAAAGGTTTTGTTACACAAACACCAAGTAATACAATCATACATTTTCAGTATTCAGTGTCCACCTAGTCCAAGCCACTTATGAAAAATAATTACCTACTATAAAGTAATGGATAATTGGCCGTCCAGCCTTTGTTTTGAAGACCTGTGATATATTTGGGAAGAGCGGTACAAACTGAAGAATAGTGAAATAATCAGTTTTCACACTGACTAAAATAATTTATTATATAGTTTTAAAAAAGCAAGCTGTATATAATAGAGATGTGTACTTTTATATATACTGCACTTTTTCTGTTCTACTTCATTTATAGAAATGTTCTTTTTTGAGGGATATTTATTAAAATCAGAATAACTTTGTAAACTATACTTTTTTGTTACAAGATAGGATTTTAGGAGGGAGAAGGTTAAGTAGGAAATGATGTCAACATCTCAATGCATAAATAAACAATTAAATTCAATAAGCATTTATTAACTACTTGTTATATGTGCCAAGCATGTGTAGGTGCTGGAAATACAAGGACAAAGATGAATATTTATAAAACTTTAAATTAAAAAGATCTTTCATGAGGGAAGAATCCTAGCATTAGACGCCCTGATGGCTAGGACAGTAGACACACTGTTTCAAGACTGTATTCTATATGAGGTAGCTAAGTGGTGCAGTGGATAGAGCTCTGGCCTTGGAGTCAGAAGGACCTGAGTTCAAATCTGGCTTCCCACACTCGACACTTACTAGTTGTGTGACCCTGGGCAAGTCACTTAACCCCGACTGCCTCACCGGAAAAAAAAAAGATTACACCCTATACTCAAGATGCAGAATAAGACATATATTCTCAGATACAGGAAGTGCTGGAATTTGTTTTGTTTGAATATGCATATTGGTTACAAGGGTTTGGTTCTTGTTTTTGTTTTTTTTTTTCAGTTAAGGGGTTGGGGAAGAAGGGTGAGGGGAGGGATAAGGTAGCCAAAAATGAAAGAAAAGGTCATTAAGCATTGAGAGAAATTAATATTATACTATTACATTAATAACTAATTATTAATATGTTATCCACCCTGTTCCCTTCTGTTAAGGCTCAACTCCTGACAAGGTCAGCTAGCCTCTGAAGGGCATTGCTGAGTGATGAGACATAGTCATAGCCCTCAAGATACCAAGCCAAACTGGGAGACCTAATTTCTGCTTAGAGTATAAAGAGAATTGAGTCTGAGCAAGCCTGTGCCTGAAGGAGGAGCCTTCCTGTCCATGATTCCCTCCATTAGAGTTCAGGGCAACTAAGCTTATGATGGAGAAAACTAGCTAGAGAGGTTGGATGGAGATGGCTTCCCCTGCCCACGTGCCTTGAGGCTGCTGAGTCTCAAGATCAAATTATGCTCTCAGCAGGAGGAGCTGAAGACTTTTAGCCCATTTTCCCCTAAAGTGTCCACCAGTCAGGGTTGAATAGCACCTGTCAGGGGATCACCATTAGAAGAGACTGAAGTCATTTCAGGGTCTCCCTTGGCAACTTTGGTTACTGAGAGAAACCACTGACAATCAATTTATGGATTGCTGGCTAGCCTAATTAATAAGTCGATCATTAGTTACCCAGGAATGCTGTCTCTCAGGGATTTTGTTCTCACAGCATTTTGTAATGACTAGCTGCTGACCTTCTCATTGGAGACACGGTGTTTACACGGAATTCACATATTGATGTCCCCTGAAACACCCTTGCTTCCCAGTTCATCAGTCTTCTCAACTTCCACAATCTAGCTCTTCATTAAAAAGGATACAAGATGGCACCAAAACAATACCTGAGTCAGAGTCTGGCAAGGAGCAAAGTAGTGAATAAACATGCTGGCAAATATTAGGCTGAAAAGGCAGAATCACATATATAGCAGATATAATACTTTAGCCACCTGGGCATCTTTGGTATGCCTGGATTATCTTGTTGCTCAAACCCTTGGTAGAGTAAAATTAAGTATGTGGAACACCCAGAGAATAAATCCTTCTAAATAGTAGTGCTTTAACAATTTACTCATCTATTTAGGCAGCTGGGTGGCACATGGATAGCATTGGACTTGGAGTCTGGATGACCTTAGTTCCAATCCTGTCTCAGACACCATGTGGCCCTGAGCAAGCCACTATCTGTAAAAATGGGAAAGTGTTCAAGGCACTGAAGATTAACAGCAGACAAATTAAGAGCAAATCAAATCAAAGAAAACTAAGAAAATATTTAAAGATAATCTTCTTAGATATGCTGAAAAGGAGAATGGCTGTACCTTTAGAAAGGTACAGTTCTAACACCAACCTGTCGGTCAAACCACTCAAGGTTTCTAAACTTCTTTTCCAATGAGTAAAAAAAGAAAATACCTATTTTATCTATGTCCCAGCATTTTGTGATAAAGGAAAGAGGAAACAAGGAGAAAAGAATAGCTATAGCAAGTTAGAAGGCCGATGGTAAGTAGTAGGTTTTTATTGTCTTTTGATAACAAGCGTAACAACTCTGAAACTCAGGCCTGAGGAAGGCTGTAGCGTCTGCCTCTAGTCTAACGTTCTTCAGGGAGAAGTGGAAAGGATTAAACACATCTATAGCACCTAGTAGGTACCAGGCGTTGTGCTAAGTGCGCTTTACAAATATTATCTCTATTGCTTCCCCAACAGCTCTGAGAGGTAGATGCTATTATTAATCTCATTTTACATATAAGGAAACTGAGGCACCAAGAGATTAAATGACCTATCCAGGCTCACAGACATAGTAAATATCTGAGGCCAAATCTGGACTCAGGTCTTCCCGACTTCAGGTCCAGGGTTCTAGCCAGTTGGTTTTTATCTTTCATGCTTGAAAAAGACCAAAATAATATCACTATGTTTGGGTCAAGGTACAGTGTGTCCATTTGTCACTGATCAGACCAATATGAGCTTGGAAGGCTCTCCCGCAGGTCAGGTACAAATAGTCTATATGAATATTTGTAGTGGAGATGTTTCTAAATTTGTACATCTCGTGTTTCTTTTGAGCTACTGCAATTCTGCTTTACTCACAGAGCACAGTGCCTTATTTGATGTGGGTACACCATGCCGGGTGGTCCCATGCCAGTGTCTCCCATTCTCATAATAGATTCTAAAGTTCTTCAGAGAGACCTTAAGAGTGTCTTTGCATTGCCTCTTCTGACCTCCATTTGAGCGCTTCCCTTGCGTATGTTCTCTATAAAATGATCTTGTGGAAATAAAAAACTCCTGTGAACTGCAAAAATGGAAGATGCCCCAGGTCCAAAAGGGTGACTTGGAAAGAACCAG